AGATCCTCTACCAAAACACGTGATATCAGCACCCGGTAAAACATTCACACTGTTACAAATTGAAAGGATTAATACAGGTCAATAGCCCTAATACTAATTCCTTAACTAACTTACAACCATCTAATAAACTGAGTAAGTTGGTGAACTTTTTCAAGCTCACTTTAGCCTTTCTTAAACGTCACCCATAAGTAATAGTCCCACCGATGTTGTATATGCAGAAACATCTCTTGACACTAGATCTATTCACCTCAATAACGAAAACTATATAAACAATACCATAAATATCCAAATGCTACTATACAGTCAAAAGTGTGAGTCTTTTAATTCGAAAAATGCTTCAATAACACCTCTGAAGTAGTTGCAGAGAAAACAAACACACCTTGTCGTAGCGGAAATTTTGAGACGAGCGAACATCGACCTTCAAGTAAGTCATTAAAATGGTTCAGATAGTTCAAATGGTTGTGGACAGAATAGAAGAAGCTTTTGCTTAACACGCTTCCGTTTCTAGTGGCAGGGGATCATCAATATCTCCAGGCAGGAACCTAAATATATTAACTATAACAGATTAGAAAAAAAGAAATTGGTAACTCATAATAAGATGTTATCCATAGTCCTTAAGAATAGGTCAAGTTTCTTCTTAAAGGACTCCTGGGAAGTCGCCTGGACTAGTTCAGTAGGCAGCGAATTCCAGCCTTTGACAACTCTTAAGGAGTAGAAGTTGTGTCTACAGTTCGTTCTGCTATATTGTATCTCCAATTTCTGGGTGTCACCCCTTAGACTTGTATTGGGACTAAGCTTAAGTAGGTGTTTAAGAGGATGTCCAGAAGTGTCAAGGATACTGTGAGTCATCAGAATGTCACCTCTAAGATGCCTATACTCTAATGTGTGAAGGTTAAGTGATTGGAGGCGCTCTTCATATGGTTTAAATTTGAGTCCCCGAACTGATTTCGTTGGATACGCTCCAGAGTGTCCTTATCCTTTTGAAGTGTGGGAGGGAATACTATGTTTCCGTACTCTAAATGAGGACAAATAAAACTGATGAAGATTATGTGGAAAGTTCTTCCGTCAAACTGGTCAAAAATGCGCTTCAATGTCACCAGTACAAGGTTTGCTCGAAAGGCATTTTTGTCACAGTTAGCGTAAGACTTCAAATCGTAGGGTACCAGGACTCCTAAATCTTTTTCGACTCGGAATACTACTAGAGAGGAGTTTATTAAGTTGTAACTGTAGTCTGCTACATGCCGCAGATGGCCTACTTTACACTTTGAAGTGTTAAAGGTAATTCCGTTGTCATCTGCCAAACTTTGAAGTCGAGTCAGATCCTCCTGAATTGCCTGTATATCCTCTTGGTTGCGTATCTCTCTTCAGAGTTTCACATAATCAGCAAAAGTAATAAGCCTGACGATACCTGTTGTGGAAGATCATTTATATAAATCAAGAAGATAAGAGGTCCTAGTACTGAGCCCTGAGGTCCCCACCAGGACATTCCATAGCCTGAGATAAAGTGAAGTTAACCCTGACCTTAGAATGTCGATTTTTCATATATGAAGTGAGCCAATCAATCAGAGGTGGTCTGATATCAATCGTTTGAGCTTAATGATAAGACATATATGGTTAACCCTATCAAAAGCTTTTGAGAAATCAAGGTAAATGATGCCAACCTTCCCCTTGCAATCAAGGATGCTTGCCCATCTGTCCACCGCAGTCGGCAGGTTAGTTATACAAGAATAACCCTTCCTGAAACCATGCTGTTGGGGTGAGAAGAAGTTTAAGGACCATCGCATATCAAGGACTCCATGATTTTTGAAGAGAAGAGCCACCAGTCGGTGACTTAAAGGTTCGCTGCGTCGACCTCCCTTGGAAATTGGTGTGGTGTGAGCCAGCTTCCAATGTTCCGGTAGTTTGCCTCGGCTTAGTGAATATGAGAATATCATCCTGAGCGGTGTTGCCAGGATTGAAGCTGCTTCCCTCAGTATAACAGAATAAACCATATCTGAGCCAGGAGAAATGTCTTTTCTTAGGTGCTGCAGTTTCCGGAACACCAAGTCAGCGCTCGGGTTCACCTCGGAAAGTCCTGTGCAGTTGCGGATGAAGCTGTCATCAGTATAGTTGATGTGGGTCGGCTGGAATGTCAGGGAGTATTATTCAGCCAAAAGGTTAGCGGCGTCGTCGTCGTTATCAGTAGGGCCATTGGGACCTAGCAGTTGGGGAACTCCAGTGTTGGCTTGATGAAAAGCCGCTGCGTAACGGAATAAGCTTTTCGGATTGGAGACAAATTTATCCATAAGCTTTATCTGGTACTGAAGCCTGTCTTCTCTTATAGCCTTCGTGCATATATTCCTTGTATGTTTGTGTTGCCTGTACGCGCCGTTATTGTCAGTTCGTTTGCATTCTATCAACTGTGCCTTTTGCGGCTTAGCAGACGAAGAGTGTAGTTCTTATTGATTGTAGGTTTCTTGAAGCTTTTGGAGGCCATTTGAGGAACTGACTGCTTTGTAGCACATGAGGGCGTGTGCAGTAAGAAGTCTCAATGAGTATTCACATTAAGTTGAAGGTGAACATCCCAATCCACCTGTTACAGATAGTCCTGTAGAGCTGACACATCTAACCGTTTAGAATTACAGCGCCCGTTGTTGGTGGGATATCTTGGCACAGATTTGCTGAAAAAAAGAAGGCTATAACATCGTGATCGTTCTTCCCCAGAGGAGCCAGGATTGAGAGGTTGTCAACTAGAAATTCTTCGTTCGTAAATACCTAGTATAAGCGCGACGGTATCTGACCGTTTCTACAACGAGTTGCCGACTTCACATTTTCGTACAATCCAAAATTCTAAATGGAGTTGGAGAACCGAGCTTCAGTTGAGTTTTCACCTTCAATATACGTATGTTCCGCGTGTTACATGAAGTAGCCTCGGAATATTTTGGTGCTTAGACTCCTTTCCCCGAGTGAGCCGTGTGACCGTCAAAGGCTCTATTCTAGGAAGTTCGAGCTTCTTGTTCAATTCACCCCAGAGCATCCCGTCATTTTTGTCATGCAAACGGAGAGGGAGGTCAGGGTTGTCTTTGAGGTTCATGATTATAAGAGAGTCATCACGAACCGTTATTGTTTTCCCAGTTTTTTCGGTACGTTCTGATTCAGCAACTTGATGTTTGGAGGTCGAAGCACGTTTCTGATTTCTAGGCTCTTTGATGACTGGACGGACATTCTCAGGGGTAGACTATGCGATCAAATCACCAGTTTGTGGTGGACCAAACAATATATAAAAGCAAAAGTATCAACAAAGTTAATAACAATCAATAGTAATATTAATATTTACAAGTTAAATGTTACAAATACAATAACAAATTAGGGACGTTACTTAAGTCGGCTAGTCGTTGCGTGTTCTGTTGAGTTTTGGTCTCACAAATCCACAATTATAAATGTGTAATAATTCCACAGAGGTAAATATGACGCCAATAAGTTTCTTTGACGTAGGATATAATGGGAATGACACTGCAGTCTGAAATGAGGATAATATCCAGTTTAGAACGCAATTGACTTGGTAACGAGCGACAATAGAACAATGGGTATGTGCGTAGTAGTGTATTTGTGAACAACTGAAAATGTGTGTCACGCTATGTTGGAATTACAACGGAAAAAGTGTTCAAGGTCGTTGACTAAAACAACACGTACAGTCATTTAATGATAAATGTACATACAGTGAAAAATTGACAAAACAAATAGAAATAACATTGAAAACTATTTACAAAATAAGGTTGTCAGGTCTATCTCCACATAGCTCCCCCCAGAGTGTCCGGAGGTAACACTGGTCACAATAACAATAATAAAAATTTTATACAAAAAAAGATATTTACAATAATAACCAATTAACAATGTGGAGATGCGTATGACATGTACGTTAATAATATACAGTGTGTTATTGCGTGAAAATAGCGGTGATGTGGCATAGCATGACAAACAAAAGTAATGAGAATACCGTCATTTAAAATCTTGGTTTGCTAACAATGATACTAATGTACAGATCTGTTACTGAACCCAAAAAAATGAACTGCTTATTTTTTTTTTGTGTGTGTGTACAACAAATGAATAATTAAATAGAGTTTACTCGTTTATTATTGTAACCAATTTATATATATATATATATATATATATATATATATATATATATATATATATATATATATATATATATATATATATAAATGTGACAAAACGAATAATTGTGGAAAAAAATGTGATTAAGTACACTGTGTGAAGGAAAACGAAAAAAAATTTTCTTTTAATCGACGAAATGAACATAACGCTTGGGTTTGTTTATAGGTCTGCCGAAGCGTGTTAAACAAGAAGGTTTAGTATTAAGTTTTTTATCCTCCCCTGGTTTTTCAGTCACTGGTGAAAGGGGTTGATTGTCAACAGCGTTGTCTTTTTTGACTTGAGTAGATTCATAGAAAGCAGGTTTGATTCTGTCTATAGAAATAGTCTGCTTTTTGCCATCTCTGCTGATGATGAAGTATTTTTGTGTGCGTTTAATTACTTTATATGGACCCTCGTATGGTTGTTTCAATGGTTTTTCGACAGCATCTACTCGAACAAAGACAAAATTGCATGTTTCTAGATTTCTGTCGAGTTGTATTCGATTGTTATGTTCACGAGGCGGTATGGCTTTGATCTGTTGCAAGTTCATTTCCGTACAATTCTTGGGATGTTCAGCTTAGACGGTGACGTCTGGTCCTTTTCAGCTCTGTTGACGTGGGTTCAACCACCTACAGAGTTTTAGGGAACCACTGTTGCATTCAAGGATCCTGAGCTGGTAGACCCGACCAAGACCAAAAAATATACTACTGGATATTCTTTTTACACGCCTAACCATAAACCACTGATAATGTCAACCAAAAGGCAAAAAAGTAATATTTTAATATTTTTCGGGAAAGGCCAGTTATGTACATCAATGTAAACAGCATCAAACACTGTGAGCTATTTGTTCTTTTATCTCTGACATTGAAATCGTGAGTGGAGGTTGCGGAGCTTTTGAATGGCAGTGCTATTGCACTAACAAATGTAATTATTAAGTTTAACATAAAACTAACATGTCAGACCCAGGTCATAGCATCAATGTGATTTTTGGTAAGAGATTTCTAATTTTATTTATTCCGATTAGGGGGTCAAAAGTATTTGGTCCCTTTACCATTGAATAGCGATGCAACATTACTGGACTTAATGAAGTCAATAGACTCTATTTTACACATTCCATTTGATAAACAAAGAATAATATACAAAGGTACACTACAACCATACCCACTTGATATATTGTAGGAAGATCTCTTACTGATCCTGATGCATTAATTTCTTCATCCGGTCTCACTCCTGGGTCTAGAGTTATGATTCTTGGTTCAGTGAGTCAGTACAAATAGTTTAATTAGTCTGTTCCGCCAAAGGTTGATAAACTTAATCCAGATGAGGCCGTAAAACTTGTCAAGGCAAAGGACACGTCTGATGCAGTCGATTTACAACTAAAAGACCTCTCAAACAAGCTAGAAACTATTGTAAGTTCAACTCAAAAGATTTACAGATCATGTTTATTTTATCCTGAATATTTACCTGAGTGATTTTTAAAGGCATTGTGTTCACCCCCCAGAGCCATTTTCTAGAATCCAATAGTTTGGTCGGTTAACTGTTATTATTTCTATGTTTGAAGATAATTTCGGTGTTTGTATTCCGTGTTATGTACTACTGTTCATCGCGACTTCTCACCCGGTTGCACCAATAGTCGACCGGTACTATTTTCAGCTCGTAATTATCGTTGGAATATGTTCACCTATGCTTACAGAATAAACCATTATCATTTTCTAGGGATTATGTCAGGAACATTTCAACCCTAAGTATTAGAACAAATTGAGGGGGGAAGAGTCTAAGTATTTATTAAATGGGATTGTTGGTTTATTTAAAAACTGAAGAATTCGGTTAGGTAAATTACTCTTTTATTACCCACTTTTTTGACCTTGTCGAACTCTGGTTCATAATCCTTATTTGGTTCATTCTCAAATTTCCAATTGGTAAAGCTAGTTTTCATTCCATACAAGCCTGTGTTACATCAAATTATTTGCGAGCTTACATAGCGCTTGGGGAATTATGATTGGGAACTATAGTTCTCAATCATGCGAACCTATAGGCTCTTATTCTGAAGTTCATTTCTCATAAACTGTTCGTAGCCAACATCTGATAAGAGCCTGAAGTCAAATTTGCGCAGACAGAATTTCATCCTACAAAGTAAAGCAAATTGATCAACATTTGAAGATTCTAAGCATCTACACCTGTGCATTGCAGAGGCTTGCCTACTTTGACGTTTTTTATCCATCCTTCTGATGATAGTTTTTATTCAATACTATAAATGTAGTGAAACATGAAATTCTCAACAGTTCAGTTTTTCACCAAAATCTATAAATATATCTTTAGGAAATTTTGAAACTCTATTGCCGCGACATCGACACCAAAGTGAGTGAGTCATATATATATATATATATATATATATATATATATATATATATATATATATATTCCGATCAATGAACTACAATGTTAACCTGATCAAACTGATATGCTAATTTCGATAATGTAATCAGAAGACGAAGGTTATCAGAACTATGTGATATATTAGCGCAATACATTTCGAACAATCTGATCACACACATACTTGTTAAGAGCATTTATATATAAAAATAAAAGGTCAACTAAACAGGAAACGGGGTAAGAGGAGATAAGGATAATGATAAGAGCAATAATAATAATAATAATAATAATGTGAACACAATTCGAAACCTAATCACTCTGGATAATAAGTCAATATTACCAGGGTAGGTTTAAGGTAAGAACAAACTGTTTTTGAACACAAAAGGGGTTTAAGTTTTCGTATGGCTAAGGCTTCAATAAACCTCAGTATACACCCTTTTACACTTTTATACAATACCACAAAAGCTGAGTTTAGATCAATCTTGTGACCTGTTTCAATTATGTGTTTAGCAATAGAGGATGATGGATGTTTATCCTCTGCTCCTATTGGGTCACCTGATTGTATTTGTTGTATTCATATGTGTGATCAGATTGTTCGAAATGTATTGCGCTAATATATATAATCTTCGTCTTCTAATTACATTATCGAAATTTATAAAAGGGACTAATTTATATACTAATGCCTGAATGATTTTTGCTTACTTACTTCTGTTACCTTTCATGAAGAAGCATAGGCTGACCATCAGCATTCTCCACCAAACTATGTCCTGGGCAGTTGTTTTCAGTTGCTATTGAGCCTTTTCATGTCTGCTTCCAATTCTCGGTTCAGTGTTCATTGGCCTTCCTCTTTTTCTCGTTTCCCTTCAGGATTCCAGGTTAGCGCTTGCTTCGTATTGTAGTTTGATGATTTCCTCAATATGTATCCTCTCCACTTCCATCGTCTTTCCTTATTTTCTTCCTCAGCCGGAAGTTGGTTTGTTCTCCCCACAATATGTTATTGCTGATGATATCCGGTCAACAGGCATTCAGTATCTTATGTCGATAATTGTTTATGAATACCTGTACATTTTTCATGATGATTGTGTTAGTTCTCGAAATTTCAACTCCATAGAGTAGAACCGTCTTGACGTTCGTATTGAAGATTCTGACTGATATTGGTTAACAGTTGTTTTGAGTTCCATATGTTCTTCAACTGTAGGAATGCTGTCCTTATTTTGCCAATCCTTGCCTTTACTTCTGCATCATATCCTCCACGTTCATCGATGATGCTACCCAGATAGGTGAAAGTTTCCACCTCTTCCATCGTTTCTCCATCAAGTGTGATTGGGTAGGTTGGTGTTCTCTGTGTTGTATTTGAGTATCTTTCTTTTTCCCTTGTGTATGTTGAGGCCTACTGATGCAGAGGCTTCTGATACACTGGTTGTCTTCATCTGCATTTGTTACTGTGTATGGAATAGAAGGACTCGGTCATCTGTAAATTACAAATCTGATTGATTCCGAGCTGTCCATTATATTCCATGCTTCCTCTCAGATATCGAGGTCTTCATAATCCGGTCAACCATCAGAAAAAAAGAAAGGGGGAGAGTAAGCAACCTTGTCTGACACTGGTCCTCACTCGGAATGTATCTGTTAGCTGTCCATGCACGATATTGCAGTGTAGTCCGTCGTATGGATTCCGTATAATGTTGACGATCTCAGCCGAAGAAGTTTCCATAATGTTCTATCCACATTGTCAAATGCTTTTTCATAATCAATGAAGTTGATGTATAGTGACGAGTTCCATTCAACTGATTGTTCAGCGGCGATTCGTAGTGTGGCGATTTGGTCTGTGCACAACCGATCCTTACGGAGTCCATCCTGTTGACCTCGAATGTGAGCGTCTACTGCGTCTTCCATCCGGTTCAGCAACACTCTGTTGAGGACTTTTCCTGGTACTAACAATAGTGTGATGTCTCTGTAGTTCTCACATTTGTTCAAATCTTTCTTTGGTATCTTGCTGAGTTGTTCTTCTTTCCAACCCGTTGGCACTTGTTCTTCCTCCCAAACCTTCCTGAATAGAACGTGGAGCATCTTTGCAGTTGGTTTGGTCTGACTTCGGTGCTTCGGTGCTTCGGCTGGTATATTGCCAGATTCTGCTGCCTACCCACTATTGATTTATCTGATGGGCATCCTGATTTCTTCGATCGTTGGTGGAGCAACATCTATAGGGAGATCTGTGTGTGCTGCTTCGATGTCCGGTGGATTCAATGGAGCTGGTCTATTCAAGAGTTCCTTAAAGTACTCTACCCATCTGTTCCGCTGTTCTTGAATTTCAGTGATTGATCTGCCTTCTTGGTCTTTGACCGGTCTCTCTGGTTTACTATATCTCCCTGCTAAATTCTTCTTTGTATTATAAAGCTGTTACATATTTCCTTCTCTTGCAGCTTTTTCCGCTGGCATTGCGAGGACTTCCACGTATTTCTGCTTGTCGACTCTAATGCTTTCCTTCACTTACTCATTTGCTTTTGTGTATTCAGCTTGTGCCTTGAATTTCTCTACTCTCGTTTGGCTGTTGTTGATTTCTGTCTTTTTGTTCTACCCGTCTTGATTCTTGTTCAGGGTTTTCGATGGAGATCTATTCCTTATGATGATGTTGCGGCACGGAACTTCCTGATACGTTGAAGTTAGGGGTTTTTCGATCTTTTTCAAAATTTCCTCCATGGTAGTTTTCGCATCTTCGAGTAGATCTTGTAAGGCCTGGAACCTGTTGTTGAGAGTTATCTTAAATTGGTTGAGTTTGTTAGTATCTCATAGGAAGGCTGTATTGGACCTTTGTACTACTGTTTCTCCAGTTTTCAAGTGTTTCTTTAGCTTCAGTTTCCTCTTGGACACAACCCGGTGGTGATCTGAGGCTATATCAGCTCCTCTCCTGGTTCTCACGTCGTCCGTTGACCTACTGAATGTTTTACTGATGTAAATGTGGTCGATCCGGTTCTCCGTGGTGTGGCCTGGTGAGATCCACGTAGCTCTGTGTATGGGTTTGTGTGGGAATATTGTGCCGTCTATAATCAATTTGTTGAGCACACATGGGTTTGCAAATCTCTTCCCATTTTTGTTCCTTTCTTCTAGTCCATGTTGTCCCATGATATCTTCCTATCCGGTGTTCTTCATTCCAACTTTAGCGTTTAGGTCTCACATTGGGATGGTCAAGTCGATTTCTCAGCACTTCGCTATGATTGCAGCCGCTCGTAGAACTGATCTTTATTGTCGTCATTGCTATAATTGGTGGGTGCATAACATTGGATAACATTCATTGTGATACCCTCCTTCTTCGTTTTGAATGATGCCTTGATGATTCTGGATCCATGAGATTTCCATCCTACAAGTGCATTTCGTGCCTCTCCAGAAATCATCAGAGCAACTCCCCGCCTGTGTGGAGCATTTTTTTACTTGTGACTGGAGTACAGCAGTATCTTTCTCGTATCTAACCTTTGATGTCCATCTTGGGTCCAATGGGTTTCACATATTCCGAGGGCCACCGTGTTGTATCTCCTGATTTCCGTATCTATTTGCCTGGTCTTCACGGTGTCCCACATTTTCGGGACGTTCCATGTACCTATATTAAATGTTGTTCTGGTTGCTAGAAGGGGCTTCGACCTCTTGACTTCCGTAGAATCTCGGTTTTTATCATGGCGTCCTAATTCTTCCTTGAACTCGGAGGGCAGAGCTTAAGCATTTTGATTTGTTTATTCTGGTTATCGTATTTTAGAAAGTTTTTTTCTACGGGATGTGGTTGCTGACCCCATGTTCAACCCTCCTTTATCCGTGCTTGGGACTGGCATTAGCCATAGACGAGCTACAGGTGGTGTTAATCTCCGGACATACGAACTGCTTATAGGTTGTTGTTTTGGTTAGCTATTTGTATCTTTATAAATTCTATGTGTCACTATTTGTTTTGTTAAAGATTTTAAGTTATAATCCACACGCATTTTTGGTTTACTTTCTACATTTAGTTATCTCAAAGTAATTCTGATAGTTTAGAGGTAACTGCACACGTAAAGTCTACAATTGACATTATGGAGCAGTGCATGCGTACTCTTGAGCTTCTGGACTCTGTTCGGTTGCCATACAATTGCGAAAGTGAACGCGCTTGTCGTAAGAGGCTAGTAGACACAATACAAGTAGGTTTTAAGGTAACGTTTATCTTTATCGAAGCGGTTTATGTTTAACTTGATACCTTTTTAAACCGTGATTCCAAAAAGTAAATGCTTTAGAAATGCCTTAGAAATATTGCTGGCGTCTGCTGGGATCACCGGGTAAGTAATAGTGAGGTTAGACGCAGGGTATTAGGGAATGATGGTAAATCAGTTGATGAGGTTATGAATCTTCATCGACTGAGATGGTTGGGCCACGTGTTACGTATGCCTGAACACCGATTACCACGACGTGCAATGCTATCCGGTATTGGAAATGGTTGGAAGAAAGTTAGGGGCGGCCAAACCAAAACGTGGCATCAGTGCTTGAAGTCACTAACCTCTAGTCTGAGCCATGTTGGTAGATGCAGACTACTTGGTTGGGGTCCGCGTGACTATCGTAACCAATGGTTGGAGACTCTTGGTGACATGGCTCAGAATCGATCACAATGGCGTCGGTGTATACACTCCCTGTCTTCCCTTAAACTAAGAGATTAAAATCGCTTCATATCTTTCTTTCTACGAACCAACTCTTTCTTCTTGTACTATATCTCTATATGCAATCTTTCTCTTATATATTACTACCTTTGACCTAACCACTGCTACGAATCCGGTGTTCATCTTGTTGTGCTGATGCGGTATGGCAACCTGGACCGATGCACATATGTGCCTGGTCCTACGTTGTAGCTGACTGACTTGTTGTCGTTATGGTCAATGGCACACATGTAGTAGCGTTAACTCAGCTTATGTAAACGTTGCTCCTCTTCAAACTTTGAAAAACTTTCGGTTTCTTATGTATGAAAACATTGAGATATCTATTCACATTACCTTTCGTACCAACAAAATGCAGTGCAGACCTAATGTTCACATTAAAACATATTTCAGTAGAAGCACGAGTAAGCATCTTACAAATGAATATTCGAAATTCATATAGCGGCCATATCTTTACAAACATTTCCAAGTATTATGTGTTCAATTATTACTTTCGACGGTAACTTACTCCGTTGTTATAGACGACCTTAGTCAAATTCACTTCACAGACTCTTGGAGCTAATACTGTCCAATAAATTTTAAGTTCACTCATTGTACTTATATATATGGACAATACTACCCAAAAGACGAACGAACCTTACTTTATTTCCTTTTTGTCGAAGGATTTCTCGCGTTAATCCGTTCTCGAAATATAAGCTTTGTAAAGTAATAATCATATGAAATGATAAAAAAAATTGTTAGTGTTCACTTGTTTTTCAAGTATATTAACCAATGTAGTTTTCCCTTTTATCTCTTTATTTCTTGATTCGTTCTTTCAAAATATTTTTCAGGAGTTTCTTGTACAGGCGGACAAGTTGAGAGCTGAATTTTTAAAGCTTATCAAAACATAACACTGATATCTTCTGTGTTAATACTTCTGTAACATAGTGTTTACTACAGTACTACTTTTGTCAGTAACTTAAAAAATAACATTACAGTTTGTTATACTTGTATTTTTCCTCTTCAATCACAAAAAATGACTATAAACAATCAACAAGGGTAACTGTCATGGAAACACACGTGACAAGTGATCTCAGTAAAAGCGGATAAAAAAAATGAATGATTTCGTTGCATATTTTTCTCCTCTACCCCACCATTGGGTTTTCAGTCATCGCTGTAAGGCAGTAAACCTGTACACGAAAATAAAACAAATTTATTTGAGTTTGGAAGCTAAATTTATACTGAATAATGAATTTACGCTCATCTGAATGTTTACAGTTTATTACGTGATTTCATCGCAGACAAAGATGTGATGGAAATGAGAAAGGAAATTTAGAAACATTCCATTGCGAGAAATTATCACACGTTAAGCATATGGTATTACTCTTTGGTTAAAGTATAATTGACGGTTATGTTGAAAAAAGTTCTATTACCACAGAAAAGATATGTTAAGAATTAGTATTCGAACCACATTCATAGCTATCTTCTCAAGAATGTTTCATAGACTTGATAAAGTTTTTTATAAGGTTTCCAATGTCATATTGTCTAAGTGGCTTGAAGCAACATACACAAAAAAATGTAGGTAATGTATGGCACGATACAAATGATTATCGTTCCTTGTTATCAGACTTCAAACTAGTGATCAACAAAAAGATGTTGAAGAACGAGCGAATAAAGTGTATTAAGTGGCACCATTTTCAGCACTTAGAAGTGGATAATAAGTGGATCCGTCCTACTGAGATGAATTAATTCTACGACGTTTCACCTTGTCTGCTATCTGTAACATTAGTTATACCGTAGAATTCAACTAGGAAGCTCGAACTTTCTATATCAACAACAAATGACTTCGATTACTTCTTTGACCTTGAGTATATGTTCTTGATATTTACAGGGTATCAAATATACAAGAATTTCGCGCACCTCATACTTACCATATCATTTGGGTATATTGGAGTTGTAGGTTCTGGTAATGTGTAAACAAATCTTTCGATTTTTCCACTTGCTTCAAGGTATATGTTTTTACATGACAAACATTCATCCATATTATTGCTAGCTTCAACACTTCGATAAAGGCCGATTGATATTGTTCCGGTACTTGCCAACTCAGCATGAAATAACTGACTGAAAGTCAGAATTTTCTGTAGAAATAGAAAAAAAAACATACGTGTGATGTCTTGTGTTACATATTTACTGGCAAATTTCTTTGTATTTGGCAGTTCGTACAACATGTCCCAAGGGGCATTAGAATTTTGCCTCTTACGAGATCAGTACTGAGATCAAATGTTATATATAGGGATTTAACCCCTCTATTAGTAGTATGAATGGCGCTGTGATTGACTTCTATTCAGTGTATGTCTCTGTACAAAACTATACTTAAGTAAACAGTTTATTATTTCTGTATAATATTATGATAAAATCCAAGTGATCTTCATGATATAATTTACAAACATGGTCGCTGTTCTCGATCGAAATAAGATAGTGGAATTCCGTGCGTATTGTTTTCACTATTGGTTCGTCACGTTTAATGGTAATTCTTGAGCCAAAAGATCTTTATTAATAGAATTGGTCTTTACGTCACTTATGTTCTCTGCAGATTAAAAAACAAACACTAGGTTGAGGTTGTTTAGACCTTAAACTAATCATTTTACTGTCTTGTATACTGGAAAAGCTAATTCGTTCCTCCCCTCTTATTGTACAATAAAAATATATTTACATTTATTACCTGCGAAGCTAGATGATGAAGTTCTTTATCCAATTCCATAAGGGGTATTAAACGAAGTTGGGACAGCCGAACAGCAATCGCTTCGCCTGTAAATTAAGTAAGATTACAGAGCTCTTTACATTACTTTCTAGATATAGGAAATAAAGTAAGATTCTTCCAGTAAAATTTAAAATTATCCATAACTTAGAAAATAGCCTATTATGTAGCCCATATATGTCTTTTGTCTATCGGCTAGTAATTTACTCGATAGGTAAATGGACTACTGTATTTGCTAGAAAAGCGTAATTATATATTTCAGGAAATTAGTTGTATTTGTTGACTGTAGCAATTTAATCTTTTGATATTGTAAATAGTATTTATACAGAAGAGTCGTAATTTGTAAGTGCTATTCAGTTCAATTTATTCAAAATATGGCTACTAATCAATATAAAGATCAGTATATTGAGACAGTTTTTATTTACCTTTGGTGCTTAATAAATCCCCATCTACCATTGTCCTTATCCTTGCATGGAATTATTTTATCATGTTCAATTATAACAGATGGAGAAGGGGGGAGTTTTGAAATACCTCGACCATTGATAAAGTATAGTTTTCACTTGAGAAATGGGAGAGACAATTTGAAGCCTAGCAACATAAGTTGATTGAGATATTGACTGTGTAATTTTCTAACTTCCGGTTTGTAATAACTTGGTAAAATTGAGCGTGATCTCAAAATCTTTCTCTAAATTTGACTTTAGACAGAAATTCGAAGTAGGTCTCATCCAAATGTTTTTTTGTCATAATAGTTTTGACTGACATTGGTAGGGGGGTTGCATATTAGCTATGTTGTTCGACTTACATACACTAAGTCCTAGGTTCGAGGCTAGCTCTACCTATTTCGGTTCGGGCGAACGGGTAGCATTATTAGCCGTGACACTTGAAATACTAGGGAAATTAGTTAGCTTATTTATTATTGTTCGCACTCTGACGGTGGCTGTTTGAAATCATAATTAAAATTAATAATTTCTAGAAATCATTCCAGTTTCTTACGATGGCAGTGACGCAAATGACGCTATTTAAATTTCTAGTCCTTTTAACCAGAAAAATGTACTTAGTGTGATTCATGAATAATCCACATCTTAATGGGTTACAACTTCTACTGATTCCCGTAACATCAACTGAGTCACCATGATGGATCAGTAATGCTTCGGAGGTAATTATGATCGTTTCTTAGTAGTCCACTTGTATTCTCGACTTTCAATGATCATACTTTACCGGCATAAGTAGATTGTAGACTTAGCTTTTGATAGACAGAAAGATGTTTTCCCTATGCTACAGGTGACTCAGGTAATACCTGTTATCCCAATACGGAGGTCAGCCTCACCTATTATGACTACCCATTCGAGTTCATATTGGCTAGAACACTTATTTGATGAGGTCCAACCGTGCTGAGCAGGTATGCTAAAGGTTAATGGGACATAAAGCAGCAAATGTAAGGTCTGAGGGTGAGGTCGTGGTTTTGATTGTGCTGAGATGTCGGAATAAGGTGTAATGGTAACTCTCTTACAATAAATCTCGATTATTGTTAAATTTTGTCAAACACTTTATTAACTCACTTAACAGACAATGTTATTCGACCAGAAACACTTCGCATATTTCTTTGTACTGTTATAATCACTATCTTGTCGGTATAAACGTATACGCTTGATCACATGACATCCTACACAAATATCTTTCTAGCTTAAATATCGCTCGATGAATCATTCTATTTCCCTTGTATATATGTACTCGAATCCTACTGTTAGCTTTTGCCTTGCCTATCTGTGCCTTATTCGATTTGACTATAAATTTGCTTCTGTATTTGATTGCATACACACATTAGACTCTTCTTAAAATCTGCTCGATGAGCTTATAACCTTGTTATTTAGAACAACATATATAAGCGAACAATATTGTTTCTGATTAGATCATCAGGCTTTACTCTAATATGTACGTACGAAATTATTAAACCACATTGTTGTCTGCGCTATCCGCTAATAAACTGTAGTCGTCACTTCTTATCGTCTGATTTTAAACACCTTTGGGATTTATATAATAACAGTTATCAATGTGACTGAATAACGAAGCTAAGCCACTACGGTGTTTTCTACGGATAACCAGCTCTAAGAGTGTTGCTTTCCTCAGAAACAAAGGGGTATTAACAAATCCTGGCCTCAAAACACCACATCTCACTTTGCTCAAAGGATTTCCGTTCCTGAAGTTGAGTTCTTTCTAGTACAGAACTGATCCCTCCGAAAGTACCTACAGAAAGATCTTAAGTTACCGCTTTCAAGCAGCTATAACTCGGACTCTGGAGTCATGAAACCATCACTACTAACCTAGTTTCCTTCTCAAGAACAAATATCTTTTTACGATTAGGTCAACTGAGAAGTGACACTATAGCACCTTTGCCTGAACTCGAGATTTTAAATTGGTATATTGCTTTGGGCAATCAATTTCAACTTGCCATTTTTCTAAAGATTTCATGCTACATCCAGTAATGTTAAAGGTGGGTTGTTTAGACTTCAAACAATTCTTTAAAGTTTCACTATCAGATAATCTCTAACATGAGCTTTAACAAACAATAATCAACTGCATAAATTTAAGATTTATACTGCCTATCGCTTATCAGTAAATTTTTTAAGACATTACTCAAATCTGTCCATCAACCATGAAGGTTTTGATATCTCAAAAAACAGTACAAGTTAAAATACTAAATAGAAAGATTTATTTAGACAATTTAACTCACCTGTTTCAGTTTTATAGCTTAAAAAACTTTTTACATTTATTTGTTCATTATCTGCTGTTATATAGTTAGAATCTGTCTTCTCTTTCAAAAGTTCTGCATCATTAACTATATCATAGATTACATTCTTATTACCTTCTACATAGCAGTCACTTGATTGACGTGATCTTGTTTGTCCATCAAACTGGGATATATTTCCGCTTAAACAGTTCTTCTTTAAAAATGATTTATTGTGTTCATTATTCAGAAAATCAGAGATAGAACCAGTAGTTGACAAAGTATTTTGTACTTCACTGGAATATAATCGATTACTTTCGTTTTTATCATCAACTTGACTTGGTATATTACCAGTTAGATAACCTGGAAATGTCAAAGTACTGACTGGTTGTCCCTTTAAGCCTGGAAAGAAACCACTATCTATAGCAAATACCTTTTCTACTTCATGACCTGGTCCACCGCCTAAAATTGTCTCAATAAATGTTATTACAGTTGGATCGAATAGTACCTGAAAGTCAAGTGTAATACAACAATAGTCTGTAGGATAAGTAAGGAATAGATAGAATTAACTATTGCTTTGCTCATACTATTTCTGTTTAATTAAACGATATGGTATTAAGATATTTAAAACCATAGACATAACAATATTTAGTCCGTAGTTTCAGTTAACCAAACTGTATTTCAATAACTGCGTAATGCAGTCTTTAAAAGTGGAGGGTATTTTCAGTTTGCTGGTATTTGATCTACCTTCTAAGCACTGCTGGGGAACTTATTTAAATAATCGTAACCTGACGTTTTTTACCGCAACTACACATTATTTTGTGATCTTATTTTATTCAGAAATGTCAAACTAGTGGGAAAGAAACATTTTCTTTTTTAGTTAGTTATAATATATAATGTATCCACAAAAACATTTCTTAAAGATCCAGCTGTCGATAAATGTCATAATGTGGTGTGAGCTACTTATATCCACATAAGTAGTATCCAACGATGGTCAAGAATAGAATGTATTTCAGTAGAAGATCGAAGGGAGGATGGGAACGGAAAGCAATTTTTTGAAAATACACGAATAATGAAGTCTGAGACGATGGACTGATGTTTGCAAAAGGACCAGTCAAGTTTGAGACAATTGATTGACATTTTGCAAATTAAGTATTTACTGTATGGTTCTCAGATTTTAGTGAGATATTCTGTAATTTTGGGTTCGAATACATTCACTTGTCCCCACTTGTGTTCTTGTTCATTATAATAGCACTTAATAATGGTACATCGAATTTTACTCCGTATAGGATAACTTTAATGACTGATGAAAATGCGAAAACATGATTTTTCTTTTATTGACGTTACTAAAGTCACAGTTTATATCAGATTATTCCTCTATAATTCTTCAAATAAGTAGTTAATATTTGCATCATCAATATATAATATTAATCACCTTAAACATAACATAATTCGATAACCAACGTAAAGTTATATCTATTAAAAAACACTGCAGATAAATATTATTGTTAGTCACAATATTCTTTTTACTCGGTTTGCAAAAACTTAGGCCGGAAAATTTCATGAAATCTGAATTGTTTTTACTTTATATTCAGTGTGATATGGTACGGCCACCCTATTTTGTAAATGCTTCTTACTCTGTGATATCACCGAATTATATTTAATAGCTAAAATATAATACATAGAACACAATGAATACTGCTGTATTTTCTTAAGGCATATTAGAATAGGTGTAAGTTAATGAATTCAAAAAGGAGACCAACAAAAATGCTAATGTTCTCTAATACTGTGTATTGTAAATTTCATTGTCAAACAATGAAAAGGATCACAATAGAAATTTGTAACATAACAGAATAAAAATAGTTAAGTAATAATGTTGAACGTAACCCATAAACTGAATACACTAAAACTCAAGTTAAAATGAATAAGTTATGTTAGCATTCAATTATTTTCAATAAATGATCAATCCTATTTTATATATAAAAGGAAAAATACAGTGAGTTCAACTTCATTTTGTAAAGTTAGTTATCATTATTCTACTTAGATTTAGAAGAAACTAAATCATGATTCATCCAAATGCGATGATTATAACATGAATGAACTCAACTTTTCCAAAACTATGTTTGTTTTTTGGTACTGTTTATTCTATTCTTATAAAATAACACTTCTGTTATCTATAAAAGTATGTTGATCAATAAAGTGAACTTTTTTCTCCATCAAATGATATACTACTAATATTATATAGTTAAGTTGATATTTTATTGTAAAGCAGTTATTTGGATTTCTACAGAAAGCATCTAGGTAACAATCGTTTTAGAGAACTATGTAGTAATTAACAAATTCATATTTGCTAAGATATGGGTTAAATTGTAATTAAAATAAATTTGATCTTTTCTTATTAGAACAACATATATAAGCGAACAATATTGTTTTCGATTAGATCCTTATCTGGCTTTACTCTAACATACAGTAATATTATGTGTATCAACGAATTCAGCTGCTCCTGTGGAGAAAGCTATATTGGGCATACTACCAGGCAACTGAACCGAAGAGTTAGTGAACACCTCCCTTTGTGATTTGGAAATGGTAATGTCAAGACAATACACAGCTCAGTTTTATCACACTTGATCGATAGCGGTCATGTAGTGGATAGAAACTAGTCATTTAAAGTTATTTATCGTATTCCTACTAGTTTTCCTTATGGTGTTCGATCTCGTTCCTTACATATAGCAGAAGCTATAGGAATTCGAGCCAACAATCCAAATCTATGTGTTTATAAGGGATTTGTATCACCCTTGTCCCTCCCTTGGCCTTAATAAATCAATCTGTTGTTACTGTTTTTCATACTCTTTGTTCGTTTATTTTTTTTCTTCACACTCTCCCAACCATTTTTCTCTCTCAAATATACGCTTTATGGTCTAATTATCTGAACACTTCTTGTTACGTCATCTTATAATTTTATAATTTTTATAAATGTTATCCCACTGTATATTTTTCTAATCACTGACCTATTTCCGATTATGTAACACTGATACATACAACTATCATCACACTCTCAATTTGTACTTTTCACATATTATGTAATCTTTTTCATTGTTATCATCGACTCACAAACTACCTTGATTGGTTTAGTAATTTCATATATGCATGTGAATATTACTGCATATTAGAGTAAAGCCTGATGAGGATCTAATCGAAAACAATATTGTTCGCTTATATATGTTGTTCTAAATTTACAATATGGAAAATTTTCAAACTTTTCTTATTTAACATTGAAAGTAAATTTTATACTTTTAACCATAAATTTGACCAACAGAAACTCAGTTCAACAAAGATTTTTATTAGCTATGGTGAAGCTTATAGAGTTTCTAATTAATGTTTAATAAAATAAATTTTTACTTACATTTGATGAAAGACTATGCAAGACATTAGATTCGAAAATATTTCCTGAGGCAATTAATGGATTGAAGTAAGTACTTCCATATTTTAATTTAGTTGATAGAAGGCTTGCATTGGTTACATCATCTAGAATTGAAAAGAAATGTTTTTATTGTATGATATAGGCTTGTGTGTAAAGGATGAATTATTTCAGAAAAAACACATTGGAATCTTCGATGTATTCAGAAATACTATTTACTACTTAGTGTGTTGGCTATTTTCAATATAAATATTAACATTAACTAAATCCAAATTTTGTCGCAGAATTACACTTGGAAATTATTTTCAGGTAACATTAAGTGATCTAGGTTTTTGTCATAACTTGTGGACGCCGATTAATGTTCAGTGACTTATCGATCGGATCAATGACGCGTAAAACACGTGCGAGCAGCCTAGAGTCCTGATTGGTCCTGCTTCCCACCTAGCCCGGCCAGTTGATTCCAGAACACTGGTCTCAGCCTCTGCAATATGAATCATTTATTTCAAACATACGCGGTTTATATACCAATCAAGCAGATAACAACGTACCATAAAATAGAAAATAACATTTGTACAATATTTGACCAAAAGTGCCTGTGAACGAGGGAAGTAGTGATCAACAGGCAGGGAATAATTCAAGAATGGTAAGTCGTATAATAATAGTTCATAGGTCAAAATAAAACTCATAATAACAGGGACATGAATATGAACAGTTTAGTTACATAACAATTACACGATAAAATATACTCATAGTATTGGTCCATAAATGGATCCCGAAAATTACCATTCATTATTCTTATCGGGATATAACAGTTTTGATAAAAATTGTGAAGAAATAGTAAAGTACGTAAGAGACTGGTAAGAAGAAATGTGTTTTAGAAAACGTCGCAAATAAACAACACATTGAATCTCCCTAAATAAATGTTTATTTTTGAACGATTTTGCTTACACCAATATTGTATACAGAATCACAATATTCAGGAGTTGGTTTCGAAAGTAAAGAGTTGAAAATGCTATGAACTGTACATTAAAAGTATTTCAGATCTTTGAACAGATTCATTAAAATATCAAATTTATATTGAGGTACAAAAATCTAAGCTAATGTAACAATCTTTGAATCAAACCAGAACAATGATTGAGGCAGAATAATATGAATTCATTATATTTTGTGGTTTCTTATCAGCTGCTAACAACCATTTGTGTATATAAAGGTAACAGTGAGGTATGACATAATGTGAAACAAATGACATTGATGGCGGAACGAATTAGAACGATAAAGGTTATCAGTAATAACTGATATACATGCAAGAACATGTTAGAGGTCATTTGGGGGTGGTATTCAAAAACATAAGGGGTGGATGATACATTAATTAATTGAGGTCCAGAGACTAATAAGATAGATTGTGGGATAATTTAGGGGTTGTGAAAGATTTACATAAGGTTACTGGAATTAGAAATTGATGAGTTACGTGATAATGGAACAGGATTTGAAGAGTTTACATAAGAGAATTAAATGAATGAAAACGTATGAGTTAAGGGATAGTTTTGGTGTTAGTTAAGGGAAGACCACATAACAATGTAAGCACTAATGTAATAATGATAAAGACAGAAATAATTTACCAAGGTAGTGATAAGTTTATTATTGTCAATTTCTGAATACATAAATCTGATGTGAGTTTTTTTATTGCTATTGCTTCGACGAACCTGAGAGATGCTCTGTTTTTTTATGTTAATAATTTTGAAGGTTTGTGGAATGTCAGTGGTACGCTCGGTGTTAAACAAATGCCGAGCCGTTGCGCCTCTCAGTAATGAATTCATATTAATTTGCCTCAATTGTTGTTTTGGCTTTATTCAATTTCATAAAGGTAACAATGTTTGTTTACACTTCAGAAACAATTATGAAATGGGGAAAATGCATGAACGGTTTGTTTCGCGTCAGCAATAAATCAAGTTTAGTAAGGTTTTTGATGAAGTAATAAGTGTTATAAAATAATCATATATTACTTTGTTATATTCAGTTCATCTCATTTCCTTTTGTCACAAATTTATAATTTTGTTTTCGTCTAATTTGAATAAAAGGTTATCTGAATTTGTTGTCTCTGTCTCCTGTATTTTTAACTCATTATTTTATTGTTATACTTAGATTTGAATCTAACCTTTAATACATTAAAGCGCATCACGTATTTGTTACATCTGATTATTCATTGTGAATTTCGAACTGTTGTTAGGTGGTTAATATGATCCTGTGAACTAAAATGGATCCATTGTATAACCGATAAATGTATGACCCTGTTCTCCATACAACTGTCGCATACCGAAATCTAATGATGTAGTTGAAAGATTTAGAAAAAATATAGCCATAGATATTCAATGAAAGCTTAATCGATTGTGGTAATACATTATCATAAACTTACAAAGCTCAGTTACAAGCATAGGATGATTGTGTTCAGTCATATTTAAAATATCTAAAAGCAATTGATAGGGAATAAAATTAGCCAGTAAGGGTAAATATGAAAAATCACTATTAAACAGTATACTTAGATGAATGACAACTACTGACAAATATCACTGTTTTTAACTATGTCCTATTTTAGTAACATGAAATGAAAATGAGAGATTTCTTAGTTTGACAGAGCGTGAGATCAAAGTAAAGCATTATCATATAAATATATTCACAATGGTACAAGATGTAAGGCAAGGTACTACAACATTAAAGTTATCTCACCAATGAATTGAGAGCAGCTTTAAAAGTTTTGAAGCTGAAAGCTGGTAAATGATGAACTAAAGTCATTTTATGACTAGGAATCTGACTGAAAAAGGCTTTGATTATAGCTTGACAACACATTCGATACAACAATGAGATTGAGAAATTAGATGTTAATAAAATATCATCAAGTAACATTGAAAATATAATGGCAAACTATAATAAGTAGATCTGTTCAACTTATTACATCTCACAAAGTAATCATTCATTTATGAATAACTAGTACCTTGCTGTAGTACTTAACTATAGCCGAAGTAAAGTGACGGAACTTGACAGTATAATTAGTAACCTAAGTAACTCAACATTTCTATTCATTTTACTTAATTTCGAATGGCTAGAAGCCATTTATAGAAAGATTAACTCCGTGGTTTTGTGTTCATCTGTATCTAAAACCTATGGTAAATTCTTTCATTTTGAATTATATGGTTCTAAATAGAAGAAACTTTGTGGCCTTTTAGAAATATCCACAACTTATGTCAGTGTGTATCAATCAATAAGTATGAAGACTCAATTTTAAAAGTTTTCAACAGAATATTTGCAATAAAGAAGCTTGTATATTAATTAGAATATGTAAAGCTAAAAACTAAAAGAAAAAAAACACTTTCACAAACTTGTTTTATGTGCATCAGCTAACAATTGACGAATATTCAAAGTACATAGGATACTTTCTTTATCTATCATTAATGATGGCTTTCCAGAAATATCAAATGAGCATGAAAGTACAACACAAGTTGAACATCTTTCAACACCGGCAGCTCGAAGATTTGCTCTGTTTAATGGAGATCCCTAAATTGTGCAATAAAATTAACTGAAGGATAAGAATAATAAGTTCTTGTAAATTATTAAATACATATGTTAATAACAGGTATTCTGGTTACATAAATGATGAATCGTATCCTTATAGAATTATGAAGAATAACAGCTACTTTGGCATAGATGGCAGATACATTATAATTGTTGATTTATGATGATCTTATACCACTTCCCTTTAGCTCTTTGAAATGTAAGAAGATACACGTTGGTAACTCGATGTTTTGATTATTTAACTGACTTAAGTGATGCTACTCTATAGTATATATGTTTTTCTAAAGAAATAATTTTAGAAATCGCATCCAGTTCACCATACTAATTACAACATGGAGATATAAATATACTAATTTTGGTAAATATGGTTTATCAGAGAATAAAAATATCTCATAAATCATCTTAATTTTTACATATTTAAAAATAAGACAGTCAAAACTTGACTTCTGATAGCTAATAACTGTATATATTGCAACTGACAACTTGGAATGGTAATCCGCAGCATAATATGATAAACATTAGTGATTCCACAAAAAGTAATTTCTTAGTAAGATTACAAAAAGAGTTAACATCAGTACACGTTCACTGCAGTTTCTGGTGCTTTTCAGAATTGTGAACTGAAGCTTTCATATTGTAAGTTCAAATCACATATCCTAAATCATACTTTTTTAATAAACAAATCGAAGCACTGATAGTTTTTGTGAAATTTCGAACTAAATAAAACAATTTGTTCTCATTAAGAAAAGAAAACCCCTGAAGGATTATTAATTACATTGAGGAGATTATTCATTAAGAATTCCCCATATCTTTGTGTTTTACAGCAGATATCTTCCAGTTTATTCTAAGTAATTATGGTAGATCCCAATTTTTCTTTAAAGATGAACACCTTACTCTATGTGAGATAGTATACCATGTACGAATCCTTGAAAGGAAAATGATTGGTTGTTTAATATAGCAAAGAAAAAGTTATTGCCAGATGCTCGTCGATTTTAACCACATTAACAAATAATAAATACGTGTTTGACTTTAATGAAGGATAAGTAGAGACGAATATAGTACTTAATGTTGGATCGCTATTCAATACCCAAGCCAAGGAATATTAAATGTTAGGAATAAACCCTACATAGAATATTATCAAATTTATATGCAATGATGTCTTGACAAAGTTAAATAAAAACTTTTTTCTTATACTTTACTAAAACTTATGGGATAACCAGATTAAATTGACAGATGTGTGCAATATCGGAAAGACATTCGTAGAAAAATCAATGAAAACCAGAGTTTATTAGTTACTTATTAATTTAATAATTGAAAAATTCTCAATATGGTATAATTCAGCAGTTATCAATGTCTTGTTGGCTCTGGGTATTAGTACTCTGTTAAATGGTATGTACTGATAATGAAAGCTATCTGTAAATCAACCAAATCACTAGATTTTCATTATGACTAATTTACAATAAGCAATTAACATTCTGAAAAAAAAATTATCGAAGGCTATGATATTTCTCGGATAAATTGACTTACTGAAAAGACATAGATATTTGGGAGATTCTTCAGAGATCGCCATTCATTTTCAATAACTTTAGCTTCACACAAAATAATTATTGGTTTCAGTTCTTCGACCGGTATCGAAGTTGATCTGAGTGGAAGTACAAAACTAGCTAAACCTGATTTTATTTCTTTAGGTTGTTTCATGATGCATACAATGATATGATTTTCAAACTGACAGCGAATCATTTCTTTCATCGTCTGGAAAGGTAAATACATTCTTCAGTTATTTACTAATTAAAACTTATCAAAAGCGATTAAATAGAGGATTATCTGATTTTAAAAAGTATAGAGCTATAACCTCAGTATGTGAGTAATCTTCGCAGTATTTACCTTTAATCACCAAGAGTTCCCAACAAGAATAAATAGACGTAGCAAAATTCCTTTTGATGACACCTAGTTAAAAACATTTATCGGGTGACCGAAATATGTTTTTCTGATTGAACAGACTCGCCAGAAATGTAATATTTTTCTACTATGATTAGGTCAAATACTCACCGTCGAGGTGTATGGTAACACATAAGTATAAACAACTGACAAACGAGAAGGTAGCTCAAACAATAATTTTCAGAGGTGTACATACTGGGTGAGTAAAAAATTGTCTGTAATTTGTATATATGAATCATTATACTACTTTACTTCAGTTTTCGAACTACATAGAATTGAATAAAATTTAATTCTACAAAAGTAGACCATAAAGCTCAGTAACTTCAGTGAATGTATAACCTAATTAACCTTCAAGTTTCGTGGCTTATTTGTTAGAGGATTGCGCCGGTAACATAGAAGCCAGCAGTTCATTTGAAGAATAGTCGTTGTTTTCTTGGTACTCAGAAGATTGTATTTTAACGAGAGTCATCTTTGATTAAGTTGATCAAAGCACATGTAAAGTTAAATTTAACTGCCAACTTGGTAAGACTTTCATCCAATGAAGTTTAGTTCTATAAACACCAATATAATTTACAATCACCTTAATAAGCTATTCGTAAACAATTGGTTTGAAGCATTGTTTAGTGTATGTAAACACACAATAATGACAATATCTTAAAGAAACTGGTACAGGAAATATATGCGAAAATTGTATTAAAAAAATCAGATAAGAGAAACAATTCGATTTATTTTATTTTACTTACCAAACATATATTTGAAAATTTTCTCTCAGTTACCCAATAAAATAAACCGGTACTATCACACTGCAAATCGATTACATTCAGTCTTTGTAATTGCGCTAAATCAGTTATTGTACTATCTGGATACGGATAACGATAATAAGAATTCATCGAAAAACTACTTGCACATGTAGGAACTTTTTTTAATACTTTGGCCTTCCTAAAGTGTAGTTTTTGTTATCCATGAAAGTAGAAAATAAATCAATAAAACGTGATTTAACTTTAAAATTTAAACTCATTTATGGTAATTTAGAACAATAGAACATTTACAAGATGATATTTTCTAGAATTTTCGATCTAATAATCTAGAACTGTTTTAGTAGACAATACTTGATAGCTTAAACGAATAATGAGAAAATTAAATTAGCGATATTTTTCAAACCTGTGGTGATTGAAGCTTTCGATCCAAGTTCTAATTCATTTAGTTATCAATTTGTTCTAGTCGACCTCATGAATTTTGATGATAATAGAATATACAAATGTACCTTGTGGAGATGATTAACGCAGATATATTTTGTAAATAATTTTTGTTGTTATTCACAGTTGTCATAATTTCATCTAATTTGTACAATCATTATTGTTAACCGTTATTTAAATTTAACATTGACTTTCTGTTATTGTTTTCTTCTCTTATTGTATGACACTGATTATCGCTGACGAATACACTGCTGCTAACGCACTATTCGTTTTCACTTAATCAGCTGTCACATTAATAAATCTATAATATCATTGCTATAAACGTTTATTGATCACATTAGTGTCCTCATTACTCGATTATTCTTGCTATACATTAGATTGGATCATATATATATATATATATATATATATATATATATATATATATATATATATATATATATATATATATATATATAGTATTTTGAATTATTGATTACTTATTATAATTGTCGATTACGTGACCAAAAAACGAACACGCTTCCAAATGACAATTAAAGTAACTTCCAACATTCTTATCTATGTATTTATATTTTTGCATATGATTTTCTTCGCATGTTTTGATAATACTTTATCACTATTTCTGTATTAATAATGTTGCTCAGCTACAACTTTTAGTGAACGTAGAAGAGGATATGGATCATTTGATCTTTTCATAAATTATTATTACAAAATGGTTTCGAATGAGCCTATGATAGTACAAGTAACTCTAAATCAGTTTATTAGACATAAGTATTTGACACCGTAGACTGATAAAGCAAATTGTAATATCTGACACTTCAACATTTTGAAACAACTGAGGAACAAGTTAGATTTCTGGTAATAATATTATGATGATGATTTTCTACACGAAATCGTAATACTATGATCAACTTTATTATGATGATATTTTCACGCCAAGAATTTCATCACACCTGCTGGAAAAGTTCATATGATATTTCATAATTTTCATTCAGAATCTACAGAAATTTAGTTTACGAACCCGATTACCATGTGTAATACTGCTTAGTTGATAGCTCTGGTCAAGTTTAATTATTTTATAAGTTGATGTTATTACAGTTCACCTACTACTATTCGTTTGTGAGGTTTATCCATAGCTTTTATGAAACATATATACTCTCGATAGCTCTAACCTATGTAACCCAATACAGCACTTGTATGAGTAATTACTCTTAAGTGGACCCCTGTTGTACTAGGTCATCTAAATCGGTTGGTAATACAATAATAATTGACTATCATTTTATCAGAGACGAAATTCTATGAAAAAATTGACTATTTGGTTAATGGCTTAAGGCACATAACATTATAAATCCATTGAGTTCGATATCACTAGTCACAGGAAGAACTGAATCTTTCGAGGATATTTTACACTTTAATATGAATGACTTCATTTAACATTGATGTTTTTAATGACTTTTAGAATGGATTTATTTAGAACATGTTTCGTACTCTGTACAGTCGTAAACTAAGTCTATCCTGCATAATGTATATAAATGTAGAAATCCATTTAAATGACACTGTGAGTAACGACATCTAGAGATCTTTATTTCGCTAATAAGAAGATATTTTATGATAGAATATATAAAATCAGTGAATATTTATTTGGTGAAGCGAATATTTTTACAGTTAGACAAGGACTGTAGAGAAGATGATATACTGTTTAAAATCTTGAAGGTTTTCAACTAGCTAACTTAGGGGGTTGTACAAATTAAAGAGAATATGTTCTGAGATTAGCTCAAAAATAACAGTCCTTAACAATTATAGTGATGTGCATCAACCCACCTTTAACATTTTCTAAGCAATTTTAATGATCTTTTACAATATATAGTTTTTAAAACGCTTTATTGAATGTTTTCTAGTTATTAATTAGTATATACTATATTTAATCAGTTTCTAACATACCTGTACAATATGATGAAAGCGTCTAATGTTTTGTATTTAGAAAAATCAAATTGTTACGGTCAAAATATTACCTTGGTAAAATTATTTTGTTTCTATGACAATCCATATTCATTTCAAGCCATTCAAAATTAAAGTTGAATAACTTGTGAAAAATAGAATGTATTAAATAAGTACTTTGTTATTTCCTAAGGCTCCTCAAGAATAAGAACATATCATACCTCTCAGAATTCAACTTTAAATTCCTTATCTTTGGGATGTATATATTAGTTCTAACTCTATTGAATAATAAAAACTTTAAGATAATCGTGACTTTTGATATGACGAAATATAGATTATCGTCATCATAGATCGCCTATGTAGGTATGGAATCTAAAGATTCACAATAATAACAACGTTCTTTGATTTACAGTTATTATCAGTCTGTTATTGAATATTGATCCGTTCCCGGAGGTAACAATTTGAGATTAAATTCTTTCTAGATGGAATCCAAAGAATTCATTGATAAAATTAAACTTATATAATTCAAAAAAATATTATAGGAATCACACAAGATATTCTTTATTAAATAATATTTCAGTATAAAATATTTACTTACCTCATTTTACAGTAAGTTACAATTGATTGTCGAAGAAATCTAAAACACATTTGAATTGTTTTAACAAAACTATTTGCAATTGGGGAAAGTGTATTTGACTGCTCGCATATATTATCTACAAATTAGGTGGAATTTACAATCAAATCCATTAATATCTTGTTAGAACACTTGGCATAGAATATCTATTGTTTTAAAACTTGTAGAAAATTATTCTAAACAGTTTTTCATACGAATATGAAACTCATTGAAATGAATTCCTTCATTACACTAAATCATTTAAAACAACAGCATAACCCATTATAGGAACAAATAAATTGTTAGAAGTTAAGTTGTTTTTTTGTAAATGTTAGCTTTACATTACAAGTTCTGAACCATTTTTAAGTTTTTGAACTATGTAGAATAGGTATTATCTAGTCATTTCCAGTTCATGATACAAACCATCTTCAATTAGATCAACTTCACGGTAACATTTTGAGCAACTAACAACATTAACTGGCATAAATGACCAGAAAATCACTTTATGTATACTGGGATAACGAGTAAAGTTAAAATGAAAGTAGTATTACATGACAGCAACCGATAGACTACCTGGTTTTACACAGAAATGATACGTATTGTTTTTTAACTTCAATAGTTATTTCGATTAATTTGTTATCTGATTTTAAAATTTTAACTTATATACTTACCCTGATTTCGACTAAGTGACGAAAATATTAATTGGCCATAATTATCAAACATTATTTGACCATCAATTGAGAAAGTCCTCAAGCTGATTATAACAAAGAATATTATAATGATAGAAAAAAAACATTATTCAGTAAATGGAATGACGTACTGCTATTGTTTCTATTTTCCTACACAGACTTCTAAGCAGGAATAAACAGTTATTACTTCATAGTTAGTACGATATTGTTTTTAAAACTTATTAAAAGAAGAATAAGATTAAAGATTGACAAATTTGAAAAACTAACTTTACGGTTTAAGTCTCAACATAATTTTAGTATAGTCTTTTGGAATTACAAGAACCTTTCAGGACAGTCAATATAGTAGCCGGAATAAAAAAAGTCCCAGGAGAAAAAGTGGATACTACTGCATAACCTGGTGTACAATCCAGATCAACTGCTTGGCAAAGCAACATATACAGTGATAATTTTTATCATATGCATTGTGTTGTTAATCTAGTATGGCTAGTTACAATTTGAATTCTCAGAATTTAAATAAGACAACACAAGAGACGATGAATGAAAATAATTTGTTAGTCTATTGGAGATTACTTGTATGTTAGTTTGTATTTCATAAATTGTGAAACACAACGGGTAGGAGCATTATCACGATATTATGAGAAATTACAAAGTATTCACATAATACATATACATAGTTTTCAGTCGTCTATTTGCATTTTCCTGTGTGCTCTAAAATCCAAACTGTCTTCTCTATTGGCCTCCAAGTGTTCTGCCAACGTCGTGCCTTTGATGTACTGAAACTCTTCACTCTATCCAACATTCACTACAAAATCGTGATTATCACATCCATTTTCTAAGTTACCGTGACACCTTATGGCTCGTTTGCACATTTATAGTACAGTGCAAAAATGAAGTAATGAAACAGATAAATCTAGTTCGACGATGGAGAATGGATATCCTTAAAAATTGGAAGAACAAAATCAACTTTCATTTAGGATTCTTTCAAAAGTCATTTATTTCATACCATATAAATCATTGGAGGAAATAAGTCACTTGACATCTGTATCTTAAAGAATTATCTCCAAGTTGTATGTTTACTTGTTAACTACCCTTTTATAGTTATTTATCTATTGATTTAATACAAACATATTCATTCCTATTTAAATCTATTATATTGAATAATACAATTCTGAATGGATTTTAGAGGAATACTTTGCGGCTTCTTCCTAAAATATATTATCCCATTACTGCGAATATAGAGTAAGCCTTCATGTACTTTAAAATCATAATTTGTTCTGGAGTCTGTCTTTAGAAATATCACATGATTTAAATATCGACTGACCATTGGATTTTTGATATCTCTCCTTTGTGCCTTCCTAAAATACTGTCCGGCTTATAACCGAACTGATTTTCGAAGATTACTTACATAAGTCGTTTAAACTATATTATAACTTCACTTGGCTACCAGATACTTGTTTATGTACGTGAAATTTAGTCATTTTATGTTTTTGTGTAAGGGGAAATGATAGTAGTGTGTCTTCTTAACCAAAGTAGACGTAATAGGGCTCAAACCTACTGTTCATTAGTTGAAAGTGGTATGTTTTTACCGATCTATCTAAATTAGTACAGTTGCCAAGACTTAAATTGTCTGTGTATACAGCTATATATTACTTGTAACTAGTAATCAGTTAAAAGGGTTTTGAAACTAGTCATTTCTTTCCTATCACAAGAAACAAAGCATAATCTTCCCAGTAAATTTAAATTTAATTTTTAATTTTGAATAAAGGTTAATAGGTGAGTAAATTAATGAAAAAATGGTTTACCGTTGTGCTTCGATTAAATTTTTAGCCAAAACAACCGCACGCATTCGATGGGTATTAATTCGTACTCGTACACCTGGATTGATAATCATTTGAGTTTTCTTATCATTATTGGTATAAACTTGTACAGCTAACAAAAGTAAACCCCAAAATTCCATGGCAAAGCTACATGTGAATAAAGTACGAAAATTCATAGAACAAAATACTTTAAATAGAAATGTTTTGGCAAAAAGTAGTATTTGCAGTTATCTTCTACTGAGTTGATTCATAGACACTTTTCATCGCTGAACGACCACTGGAAAAGTTATTGTTCATTTCCTCAAACTAAGACTGTCTAAAACACCAATTATATAGTATCTAATTATCATTATCTAAAGTGAATTTATCCCCAGTTTTAAATGTACTCATACAAATTTCTTTTTGTTGTGAAAAGTCATAATACATCATTATTTACATTATTGTAGGTGTAATCAAAGAAAATGTTAAAATTGGACAAATTTTGAAATATTTGGTACAGTACGCTCCAGGTTCATGACACTAAAGTATAAGTCTTTAGCAATGATGTGTTACTGTACATTAGTCTGTTTAACAAACGAGAAAAGATGAAATATGCGGAAAACAAATTCCCTTTTTATGACAACGGTGACATATATTCATAAGCATAAAAAGACAATCTACTTAAGGTAATTAAGCTAGGACATCAAGATATTCGGATGAATCTGTTAACTGATTTTCATATAGTTTCAATCAAGTTTTTACCGACAATTAATATACTCGATAAAGCACCTCAAATAAAGTAACAAAATGGCTTAAATTATTCTAACTTAATTCGAAAGAATTACTTTTGGGAAATTATTCAATGATTCTTACATTGTACTGGACTATATGTTCATTCAGTACTATTTATCTTATAATCATATGAATAAACATGAATGATACATTTTTCTTCTCCTAAAGCATTATTATATGTAAAAAATATCTAATTAACTTATCAACTAAAGATCACTCACCCAACTAATTGTTGAAATATCATCCCATCGAAAGCATGAGATAATTTTACTGTATATAATTTATATTTTGTACCTTGAAAATATTCATTTATCCAACGAGGTAAAGTTTTCTATCAAAGTTAAACAAATAATAACAGTGATGAATAATTTGATAGTATAACAAACTCTATTCATATAAATTAATTTGAAGGATTATCATGAAATTTAACAAAGTTGTAAACAGAAATAGTCATATTGTTATATCTTCTTTGATGAGCAATAAAAGACTATACATTTCTTATTTTACTAAGCATTGTAAATTATTTTGTTTCAAATAATCTTTTTAATTCGCTTTTTATCACAACTATGTATATATGTAATTTTTCAGTAAGAGTTAACCATGGAAATAGGAATACAGTTATACAGTAATAAATAAACCGAGTAATTGGAAACTAGTTGACAAATTACGAAATAATAGATAACGATTAAAAATCTTGCAATATGAAGCGGTTAGACAATAATTTGTTAAAGAATGAACTAAATGAAAGGTTATGTATCGACATAAATGTATACCATAAGTCAATGATAGCAAAAAAAAAGTAAGACGGAAGATGATAACTTTTGAAAGCCATATGGATTATGTTAACTTCTATGAAGTAAATAATCTATTTCACAACAAATAGTATTTTCTATGTGTGATAATCGTCCATCGGGAATAAGTCTCAAATTCTGGATATGATTTTGTCAGGCATTTGAAGTTAAAAATGTTGTCTCTACAATATCTGTCACTTAAAGCATGAATAGCAAGTATAAAACAAACGTTTCAAACTACTTTTTGAGTTTAACAATTCAGCATCAAGAATGATAAAAAATGTAATATTTTGGTCATTAAATCATTCACTAACCCTAACTGCAGCTGTTGGTACTGAATCACGCATTATAAAATTACATAACAGAGTTGATATCCCATTTGAAACACAATTCAATGCCAGTAAGCCAAGTTTCATCTGTGTTAAACAAATAGCTCTATCAAATTGGTCACTTTCATGTTCCTTCCACCCAGGTATATTTGACATCCACACCTGTATTTTGGAAGAAGATGAACAAAGACTTTGTTAAAGATACAAATAAAATTAGAGCCTGATAAAATCCAAACATTGAACTGACATGGAGATGTATAGATTAAAAAAGCACATACTGTGAATAAAAAATAGTAAGTTAGTTGAAACTAACAACTATTTCACTTATTTTAGTGTTCATTCTGTATGCAAAACTATGGGTCGATTAGTGCATATTTGTTAAAGTTACCACGTATCTTAAATATGGTTTGTGTTATGGCTATATGTTTTATGAACGTTTATCTGTGCACATTCTTGTGTGTAACTGTTTGCATGCTTGTCTATTTTATCCCATTAACTTAGATTAAATAAACTTGCTAGATGGTTTACGTAACGACTGATGAATACATTGATTAATACAACACCCAAAATAAAACACTCATCACACGAGGTAAACCAAACTACAGGAATCGCTCATTCACCTTCGTTTCTAGTTTTGTCCTTAGATTAGTGCTTGAAATATAATATATTTCCTATCTCTTCATGTTTCGACCACTTCATTTTCACAATTTCATAAATATTCACTCAGTTGACCAAAGGTTCGGACTTCTGAAGTTCACTTAACTTCAGAATTTTAATAGTCAATCGTTTGGTAATAATAATACTAATAATCATAAGCTTAGACATACCTTACTTTCAATTAACATAAGTTCACAAATTATTCGAATATTTGGATACAGATTTTTTATGGAAACAACACACATTAAATTTTTCCAGTCATCTTCAACAGGGGTTTGACTACATTTATCAGAAAGAATAATCACAGCCTCAGCAGTTCTTACCTTGAATGAGTAAGAAGTAAAACAATTGATATAAAAAGTAATATGAAATAAATAAATGTTTACATATTTTTCAACATGAATATAAAAAGTAATTCATAAATGTAACGACAATACAATCAATTGAGTAGAAATGTGCATAAGTAAAGTAATCAGAAAACATCTGAAAGACAAGTTGAGTAATAATCGCACATATACTTATAAAAAACCTCTACGATTTCTTATGTTTCGTAAATCTAAGGATCTATACAAGTAGATTTTCAAAGAAACACATACAAAACTTTGTACCAAGAACTATATCCTCAATTATCGACTTTCTCCACCAAAAAATGCTTTATAAGCTCAAGAAAATATTGGAACGTATTCGGTAAGAATGTATTCTGAAAAATTAGTTTGTTAAAACTAGGTGAACTTCAAGTTTCTTGAAATGTCATAATGTTGTTTAGTGGGACTGGATCCAGGAAAATATCTTACTGAGAAAATTTAGACTGTGTGTTAACATTACAGTCTTGTTTCATACGTATAATTAGGGCGGATTTTGCGAATGTCTATAACTTGTGACACCCTAATGGGTAAAATCGAGGAATTAAAAATGGAAGGTATATTTGGAAATGTTTTTTATGTAAATACTGATTGGACAGACTTGTGGTGAGGTTGAAATCTGTTTAAATTATTACTTATTTCATAGTCATAAATACTGCTGAAAAAAATACTGAGTTTATGATTATTTACTTTTCAAGTAGTTATAGTTATGATGACCCGTCCAAATTCCTGGACATCTTAAACAAATTAAGACATGTTAGACCTCGATGAGTAACTTATGATAGCTTCTATCCTGTCATCTGCACAAAAAACAGTCTTTGAAATATTGAGCTGGAGGAAGAAATTAGTATATTGAGTTGTTAGTTTAAAAAATTAAAATCTAATCACAAAAGCAGGAAAACAGCTACACATTAGAGTTCAACAATAAATAGGGTGGTTGCAACAACAACTAACTAGTAGATGTTAGATGTTCATCTACGACTTCAAAGGTGATTATAGCCTCAGAACAATTAACAAAAGGTCAAACAGTGGAGTACGCAACAGATATCCTGTATCTGAACTAGTTCCATAGTTTGGACATTTTTCAGTTGAATCAAAATCAATAAAATCCCCATTCCAATGTACGAGTGAATCCGTATAAATTTACCAAAACAAGCATACTAAAAGCACATTAAAAAATACTCACTCAAATAATTTAAACATATTTCACAGTCTATAACTAAGTGAATAAACTAAATCATTGAAATTGTAAAGGATTTCATAGGCATAAGACATCATAGTCAGTGGTCTAAACAAAACATATATCCTCTGGTGTCCCGAAGCTATTGCCGAAAAGGAGGAGATCATAAAGCTTTCATTTACTACTCAAATAGTTCAGTCGAAACTTCACCGACTACGATAGTAGATGACACTGATTCGGACCACATGAGTAAACTAATCCATTTGAGGTTTCAGATACACCAACTAGCGTGGAGCCTAGAAGCAAGGTTTCCTACTAGTTGCGTTCAACTTCATAATATTCAAACAGTGGATCCGATGTCAACATCACTTGGATATTGCAACCTCACAGAGTTTGACTAACACTAAGAGGTATACGAACATGATATTGTTTACTACTCTGTGGTCACTCAGTGAGACTATACTTTCTGTTATCTTCGTTAATTGATATGATTTTAAGAAAACTATTTATCAAGTGAGATATTCAGTTGCAACAGGTTGGCATATCTTATAGACTTTATTTAGGCCCGTGTGGTACTCAGTCACGTGCTAGTAGATTTTATCATTCCACACAAATAACATCTTTTATATGTACCGAAATACATATGGAATAGACTATAGCTTGGTATTTAAAACTTATCGGTTGTGAATAGTTTATGAAGGCACAGCAAAATAAAATCTATTACTGTCATTTTATCTAATTTATTATTTCTAATATATGTTACTCAAATTTTGAATTCATCTGGGTTTAAGACTAACATTTCTGACGAGACCTTCAGGCTGCATTTGAAGCCTCAAAAAGTCAGCAGATTTAGTAAGCTTATGATATATCTAGACCACAAACCATTTTTATGAAACATCATGTGTATAATTTCTTGTTCATTCAGTCTAAATATATTGACTTCATATTGTAACATTAGTGTATGGAGGCGCTGAGGTTTACTATTACTGTTGAGTTATAAGCTTGACGGAAAGAATATCCTAACGTCCACTATTCCAGAGCAGTCTTTCTTCTGAAGTTACTATTTGAGCTATCTAAGTTAAAAATAATAACCATACTAGAAGAAATGATCTTCCAACCACAGTGCTGGTCATTTTGTCCAAACATTATCAGTAAGTTACTCATTAAGTATCAAAGTATAGTGTTTGAGGCACTGGATTTGCTGGAAAATATGTATGGCAATTAGGCCACAGAAGGAAAGTTCGTTGATTCTATTTCACTATTCATCATTCATATCTAATAAAAAATTCAATATTAGAAAGACTTAAAGGCGAGTCGTGTTTATATCCCTAACAAATAAAAGTGTTTAGCTGATACGGAGTGCTCAATAAATTCCCAGTTACAGCATAAACTGTCATTTCCTAAAATATATTAGTGTTCTTTTTAGTTATCTGGTATTTATTCGTAGTACCAATAACGTAAAATGCCATCCATTCTTTATTGATATATTTTTTATTAGAAATGAGACTCAGAATCTGAATATATTTACATGTAACTTTCTGGTGTGTTTGGGATGGACAAGCCATATTTTTGGCACTCATTATTCTGGTGGATAATACTAACGTTCTAAGCCCTAAGTGTTTAATTCAGTCTCAGAGAGAACACTTACACCCGTGTAAAACCAGTTGTTTAGTCGAAAACTAACTAAATTCTTCACCCTGAATGACACTTCAATCTTTTAACAGAATACTACATTCTGAATAGGAATCTAATGTACAAAATGTTTCCTTTCTCTAAGAGGCTGTATTTTCATAAGTTTAAAAAAACAATGAGCTTAAGAAACAGATAAACTAACTGCATTTAAGTAACTGACTCACTTTAGCTCTTTCCAAATCTTCTGGTAATGTCACAGATCCTTTCAAAAATCTCATTGTAGTGCTTTCTCTCTGAAGTAACGCCGTTAGACTAATATCAGGATCGATCCTACAAGAATAACAAAATAACACTCCTGACTCATAAATTACACAGACTTCAATGTTTTTTTTAGATGGTAATCAACATTTTTTACTTGAATATTTAAAATTGTGCATCCATATTGATCAGTCTATTTTTTATACGATTCATCCGTTTCTTGTGTATAAGATACAGTGTCAAATGACTTATCTGATAACTTGATAATGTTCATCATTACGTTTATTTATGTTATTTAAATATTTCTATCAATGTACCTTATCTGAACGCTTTTCAGGATCAGAGCACAAAACAAGATAGTTACTTATCCATTATTTTAAAAAATGATCATATATATCTTTCAGTGTGACATTCAGTGTGGTTCCTTGTCAGCCAGTTTTTTATTTTATTTATATTTTTCATACTTTTTATATAACCCTATATTATAGACACAGAGTCTTTATTAGAAGCAGTAAGTGGAACATATTGGATCTCTTGGAAAAATCCAACTTCGTAAAAGTATTCCTTGATGCCATTTTTGAAAGTTCTACAGCTGTAGTTTTATTTACTTAACACGAATAGTGGTCTTTAGTAATTCAAGCTGGTTTGTATCAATGGTTACGAAATAGTAGCCATTTTTCAGAAGTATTCATCGGGCTCTGTTCAGCCCATAGTTGATTATGTGCACAGTGCTTTTTCGTATGACAATTGAAGTTACATAGTGGATGAAAAAGTTATACCTATTTAATCCCACTATCACTTCCGTATAAGCTCTCTATAGTTTTATTTTTTCCAATCAAAGTAAAATTCTGGTTTCTCCTCTGATTCTAGTGTGAATGGGATCAAATGATGTTTTCACACATAATGCTGTTGTCTATAAATCTTTATATAAATAGAGGTTATTGATTGTTAACCAAATAATAGTATAGATTAGGTCAATTTCTGTTGCTATTGATTTGACACCCATTGCTAATATAAAGGTTTGTCATTATCACCCATTTGTTTGTTTTTCACAACGTTCAAATACATCATGTAAACAACTAAATATAACACTTTCACCTTTCTGTTTTTTTTGTTGTGCTTTAAATGAATGCGTAATCAATTTTCGATAACCGTTTTCTCAATCTTTTCATGATGGTCCAACACTTAAATATTTTATCATAAAACATTCTATGTCTTAAATAACTAAAAATACGGTTGTTGAAACCTCGGAAATGTCATTGTGGGAAAAAATGTTTCATTATCAAAATAACATATAAGTTGAAAATTAAGTTTTACAAAATAAGACGAAAATTTCCTACCGATTTTATGAAGTTTATATTACAAGGTTTTTATTGACCAAACAATCGAAACTAAGAGATAAATGTTTATTATTGTCACCGAACTAATTATTCACAATTATAACTCAAGATACTTAAGTTGTCTGATGAGTGGATGCGCCTCATAGTCCAAATATAAGATTTGATTTTCATACTATAATCAATATTAGTATAAGTTGCACTGCATTACTACAATATTCAGAGACTAAATTATCACAGCTTAATTTGAAAACCTGAAGTTGATGATATATTATTATACACAACCGTATACTATCATGAAATCCCTTAATATTAGTCCATAATAACTTGTAGTAAAAAATATGAATAGAGTACTTTGAGGAACTCTTGAATAGACCAGCTCCATTGAATCCACCGGACATCGAAGCAACACACACAGATCTTCCCATAGATGTCAATCCACCGACGACGGAAGGAATCAGAATGGCCATCAGACAAATCAAGAGCCGTAAAGCGGCAGGACTCGACAACATACCAAATGAAGCACTGAAGTCAGAAATCGGAGTAACTACAAACATGCCTCACCCTCTATTCAAAAAGATTTGGGAGGAGGAACAAGTGCCGATGGACTGGAAGGAAGGACAGCTCATCAATATTCCAAAGAAAGGAGATCTGAGCAAATGTGAAAACTACACAGGCATCACACTGCTGTCAGTACCAGGAAAAGTCCCCAACAGAGTGTTGCTGAACCGGATGGAAGACGCAGTGGACGCCCGAATTCGAGGTCAACAGGCCGGACTCCGTGAAGATCAGTCGTGCACAGACCAAATCGCCACACTACGAATCACCGCTGAACAATCAATTGAATGGAACCCGTCACTATACATCAACTTCATCGATTATGAAAAAGCATTTGACAGTGTAGATAGGAGGACGTTATGGAAACTTCTTCGGCACTATAGTGTGAATAGCTGAGATCGTCAACATTATATGGAATCCATACGACGGACTACAGTGCAATGTCGTGCATAGAGAACAAACCAGCTTCCAGCTGAAGAAGAAATTAGGAAAAGACGATGGAAATCGATAGGAAATACATCACGTAAGTCACCAAACTGCATCGCGAGGCAAGCCCTGACTTGGAATCCTGAAGGTAAGCGGAAAAGTGGAATGCCTAAGAACACATTACGTCGGATAATAGAAGCAGATATGAAAAGGATGAATAACAACTAGAAAGAGCTGGAAAGGATTGTCTAGTACAGTGTTGGATGGCGAGTGCTGGTGGGCGACCAATGCTCCTCCAAGAGGACTAACAGGCTCAAGTAAGTAAGCAAAAGAGATTTTCAGAGGTAAAGCATTTTATCTGTTCTTTAATAGCTTGGGACTTAATTCTTTTCATTTTAAATAATAACATTCAAAGTAATCTGTTGATTTTCTCCCGTCTAAATTTTATTTGATTTTACGTCGTTAACCGGTTATCACCGCAAACAGATAAAAAGTATTTTTAATGAGGAACTAGGTTTTCGAGAAATTTAACTCAAAAATTAATTATATTTATGGTTAACAATCACAAATCAGGCAGAATATACAACTTTAATTTTCCTAAATGTTGGTTATTGTTGTCTTAGGTAAAGTTTTCACTTAGTCAACATTCCTGTCAACCATAATTGAAAGTATTCTGGAGACTTTAATTTAAAAGAGCGAACCAGGAAGTCAATTAACAACATTTTCACAATTTAACTTACTCTGACAGGATGACAATCATCATGTTTTCATCATAATGGCCTTGATCGGCATTCACATATTCATCAAAAAATATTGAAAGTGTATGGTAGTTTATTGATCCACATACAACTATGTGCCTGAGAAGTGAAAAGTACGTGGAAGTCAATATCACAGTGCACCAGTTCAATATCTAAAGTTTTAATCAAGTTCAAAATTCACAAACTATCCGATAATAGTCATTTTATTTCTAACTGAAGTACGGATTTTTCAAATAGTTTATCTGTCTGTATATATGGTTAATACTGCTGTTACTCAACTCTGTAGATACTCACAAAATGACTAACACTTTAGTTTTACCTAGGTAGAACTCTTTAATAGTAATTTTATTTGTTAGGAAATATATTATTCATGCAATCCTATGTAAGTGTTTAATTCATTTTCATTTGTAAATATATAGGTAATTAGACACGGTGGTTATAACTGTGTGATCCGGCCGTCCTATCACTTCAAAGTTTATACGCTAAAAAAAAGTGACGTAACTATATGTCATAAGTGGGAAAGAAACAATTATCTCGTTAAATAAATAAACAAACAAGAATTAGAACCACCAAATCATATCGGTATTTAACTAATAGCATTAACGTTCATAAACCTCATAATGTCCAGGTAGTGTTTCTTCATGATAGCTGAGACTAATCATAAAAACTGAAATATTGAGTGTCATACCGTATAGTCATTTATTCGATAACATTTTAAGAACGCTAGAAAACTTGTTACATCAGTCACTACTTGTTTTCTTTATTTGAATTCTTGATCAATTAAGGGGCTACGAAGATAAGCGACTAACAATCAATCTTGAGAAATAGCTTTAAAATTGAAAGTATGCAGATCAACGGATTGAGACTTTATTTAAAGAAAATATTTAACATATATTAAAAGAAGTAAACGTTTAGCGAATAAAGCACCGCTATTTATTTAGTTAACAGAGTGGAAATTACACAATGAAAATACAGCTACCCAGTGGTTGTCAATGAATAAATATATGAGCTTAAAAAATGTTTGAGTAGTAATGTCTTAACTGTACACATAACTACACATTTAGTTACTTGTATATACAATGAAATCAATGCTATATGGTCTAATTAAAAGAAACTTTCATTGCCTAACAATGTGATATTTGTACCAGAGTTTGTGTATCAAACAAAATCATTCTCTATGTAAGATGGTTTGCGGATATTTGTATAGTTTGATAATAGTTTTCAAAACGAGGTATCTTAAACCTGAGAATCATTGAAAACCAGGAGATTTGTAGGAAATCAAACTGAATACAAATCATCCATCTGTATAACCATATATTCACCAATGACTCAGATATAAATTACTAAATTTTCAACAGAACAGTGTGACATATAGACGTAGATTTTTGACTTCCTATCGATTGGCCTGAAAGTATCACAATTACTGCTAAACTTAAAAATCCTGGATGCAATCATATTTGTGGCCCTGACTGCGCATGGTTCAGCAACTACAAACTAGTATGAAACATCTACCAAATATTCCCTGGTTTTCACTGATTCTCCAAATTATATCATTTTGTTATAAAAATTATGTTTGATATTAATCAATTAAATAACCACCTGACTAAGATCTAGAGTCAGATTAGATTTTATAACTATCTGATGAAGATTTTTTGTCTCATTTATAACATTTACCTTGGCTACTATCAAAAATATTTAATTTCAAATTGATGTAAACGTGTTTATGTTCTGACTTCAACACAGTTTAATACAAATGGTGTTACTAAACATTGCGAGTTGTCTATCACCTACCCAATAGAAAACCCACTGAAACAACAAGATTAGAATGAAATGATAATCATGATGGTTAGATGAAAATAAATCTAATTGGTAGAACAATTAATCATCACTCAATCAGTTATCAGCTAATTAAATTAATTATGTGGTAGGTACTAAATTAATAACAAAAATAACAGGGTTATCTCAACAAAGCTTCTTCAGTCTGATGTACCATGAGTAAATGTTAGGTCAAATCGGTCAACATGTGACAATTTAATTATATTTCATTAATTAATCACTTGCTTTCACTTGTTTTTAATATAAATCAACACTGAAACATGAAGGCCAATTAAACATATATACAGGTTCTTTTTCGAGTTTAGATCGATAAGCATTTAATGCTAAAATAGATACTAGTGTATCTACCAGAAACAAACGTGTTGTAATAAAATACCGTACACAACGCCTGTCACTTAATAGTTGAATTCATGAGTCGATTTAAGCTAGACCTCTATGAAAAACCTGGAAACACTGGACGGCTGTTTCGTCTCGATATGAGACTCCACAGTAGCGCTCATCCATTATCCTGCTCCCAGGACTCGAACCTAGGACCTTTAGTCTCGCGTAAACGTCTAACCTCTAGACCAATGAGCCAGGATTCAGCTATGCTAATGTTTAACCTAGCGCTTAATTGTTACGTAACTTACAACCAAGAATATTGAGTAGTCATGAAGAGAATGGATACATAAAATTTCATACACTTTTTTCTCTTCATTCATAAATTTGTCTAAAACAAGAACAAGAAACGTGGTAGAATAAAACCAATTCATTTATTTTGTGGTTTCCATTCTGTTGTTTGCTATCTACAGACAAAAGTAATAATTTATATGAATATTCGTCAAGATTAGAACTAATAGTTTGACAGAAATTGGGCACCGAGTATAGAGAAGTCATTATATGTGAAAACTATATTTGAAATAATCTCAGAGATTGAAATTTAAACAATTCCAACGTTTTGTCCAACTAACTTGTCTGGACTCCTTTTGATTATCACCCTAAAGAAGTCCAGACAAGTTAATTGGACGAAACGTTGGAATTATTTAAATTTCAATCGCTGAGATTATTTCAAATATACTTTTCACATATAATGAATAATAATAATTATTTTATCAGCCAGTTAACTACTCATGTCACAGTTTCAAAAAAGGTCCCGTAAAGTTCTCCTATCAACGCTGTCAAACGCTTTCTAGTAGTCACGGAAACTGATGTATGGTGACGAATTCCACTCAATTAATTGCTTAGCAGTGATCCGTAGCTTCGCTATTCGGTCTATACACGATTGATTCATATGGAATCTGGCCTGTTAATCTCGAAACTTGCCCTATGTAACCTACGTATTACAATTTTGTTGGGTACATCTTTAAATGGTAAATGTATACATGGAAACTGTTTATTTAGTGCCTTGACTGTTTTGTTTTATTTTCGTGATTCTGAAAGATTTATTTGTCTTAAAATTGGATTTATAACTGTCGAACCTGACGGGAACTTATCGGAGACAATATTCCTTGTTTAGTTCATATAATCGTTCAATTAAAATTTTCATCAACTACTGATTTCTTGATTAGATCAATCAAATTCACCTCATAAACACTTAGTACTTTAATACAGTTTCATAAATGTACTCACCTTGGATTGTGCTCCATATAAATCGCTTTGTTATATTGGTTATGTTGTTTAAATAATTCACTAAGTTCTGACATATGTGTTGTTACTGATACCTATTTTGTAAATGAAATTCAGCTTTAGTATCAGTTAAAATCGAAACCTGAAATTTAATCTTTTTACGAAAATGAGAAATCAAAGTAATTATGTCTTAGAGAGGGTCAACTTAACGGGGCTTTGAGGAATGATATACAATTATTACAATCAGTGTGATTTTTTTCAAGTTGTACGGTACTTGTGCCGTAAAAATCAGTTCCATTTTAATCTGTTAGTACAGTAGAAGATATCAACCCATTGACTTGTGTCAAATAGATATCTTTCTTAAAGTTTATTTATTAGTTCATTTATCAGAATGTAATTTAATCAGTAAGAATATTATGGTTTAATTTTAGATACGTAATTTTGATAAATAAACTTGCTGCTCTCTAAGCTTAGGCTATTGGAGGTAATGATTTCAATGATATTTTGGTTAACATTTTCAAGTTAGGTATGTTCACAAATATATACTAATGAATCAACTTTATTCTATAAATGGTTTTTTTATAAGTATATATAGCAATAATTAATTATATAGGCGTAAACTTACAAGTGTTCCAATAATAACGAATATAATGAAAATACGACCTAAGTAACTTGTACATACAATATCTCCATAACCAACGGTAGCCAATGTTACAAGGATCATGTATAGGCAATCCAAATATTCAAGTTTTTGATTGTTACCTTCTGTGGTCCAAAAATTACCTATGTGTTCAAGCTACAAGATATACAGAGGGAATAACGTGATAATCGAGATACTAAATGACTGAGATTCTCAATACCTGGTAACAAGAAGGATTCAGGAATGGAACTTATTAGTAATAATTTAATTATTAATAGATAAGAGCCTGAACGACATATGCCTGTTTATAAATGGAACAGGTCCTAATACCACGTGGAAAAATATTTTTTGTCTGCAGAAACAAAATGGTATCCTTAATAATTAAAACTATGATCATCAAGAAGCAGAACGGCTGTTTTCATTTAAAACCGTTTTGAGATTTTGTAGACAAACTTATAGAGTTTCAAAGATGTCACCTCTGGGACCTGTTTCAACTGTTTTATGACCAATCTGCAAAATAAATTACTTTGACCAAAAATAGACAGCTTTAATTTATATATGAGATGTATGGATGACAACTTTATAATCTGGAATAAAAATAGAGATTTCATTATCATGTTGGTCGTGTTGAGTAGCTACCACCAATCTATCGAGCTCACACTAGAATAAGAGGCAATCTCGGAATTACATCTTCTTAGTGTTCTAATGAAAAACAAACCACAAGAGTCAATGAAGAAATTCAAATATATATAGTAAACCAACTTGAAATGAATTATATACGAGTTTTCATATTTGAGTCCTGTTGAGCAGGACAAAGAGCATGGTTCACTCTTTATACTTGAGGGCCAGAAGAAAATTTGTCGATGAAGACAAGTTATATAAACTATCCGAATAACCATAAAAAATGACTGCCCTGTTAAATTTACTAACAGTAAACTGAAGACAAATCACAACGTAAAAAGTCCTATACAAAACCGAAGAAGACCTTCTATATGAGTATCGACTATAAAAGGGATACTGCATCAGAAATCTTGAAAGCCGAACCTCAAGCACTTCGAAAAACTTCCTGTTTCGAAAAGCTTCGTATTATTATTTTTTCGGTCAGTCTATCATTTGTGAATGATTCAAATGTAAGTTTCTTTAAGTTAAATAAATACACCTGTAAGGATTGCATCTCACGTACATGAAAAACATTTTCTAAAAGCATCTCATATGGTTAGCAGACTAGATTTTTGAAAGAAGGGTGCAAAAGAATCAACAACTTTATTGAGGAACATCTCATGCATTCTAGTTGCGTCACTCCGATAAAATGATCTTTCTAAATCATCTACACATTCAAACACGTGGGTTCAAATGGAGCATGTAATAAAAACATACACTCCAGAAGCTTTAGCAATTAAGAATTCAAGATTAAACACTATTTACAAAAACTTCATGCTTAGTTTCTCATTTTACCATGGTCTTAACACTCTCCTGGCATTTTTCTTACTCAGTATCCAAAATTATCATTCAGATGTGATTACTCACTTTCAATTCAATTTCCTTGTTTTCCAATTGAACAGTGGGTTTCTTTGTCTATATATCTTAGGTACTTAAAAATATATTTATGTATTGTATACAGTTTTGTTTTCCAAAACATTCTACCATATCTTCCCTTTTCATTAACTTTTATTATTGTCAAATTGTGAAACAAAATAGCTCATAAAACTATGATTATCATTATTAATATAACTTACAACAAATGCAATACCAGCTATAACAGTCCATGCAGCCAAGAGTTTAAATATTAAATCTACTATACGTATAGAACGTTCATGATTTATAATTCTTAATAATACTAATGATTCAGGAATTTTTGTCAGTCTAGCGAAATACAAAAATCCAAGCACTAATAAGAAAAAAAAAGGGGGGGAGAGAAAATAATTAAAATAATTAATAAATAACAATAATTCATTTGGTGTTGTTTTACTTATATCTTCCGATTGTTATTTAGGACTGCAATTGATCAGTCTCTTGTCGATATATGTGTAACCTGTGCGGATTATTTCGATATAGCCTTGAGTCATAAGCTTTTTAAGCAAAGATGGATAGTGGATTCCACTGTTAGCCACTGTCCATCTTTGCTTAGATAACAATAATGTTTATTATCTTTTATATATTACTGACTAGACTAGAGTGAATTAGTGTTTCGGATACATTCATGCTATCAGTAATTACGAGTAAACCAACAAACATTTTGATTATTAACAATGAAACTCTTCAGGCTTTTTTCTAACTTTTTAATATTCATCAAATGAACATGTCAGCACTTAAAACGATGTTGGTTATGGGGTAACTACCAAACATGGATAAAATGGGAAAACACAGCCTAATAAGTATCTCTTTTGGAATAGTAGTCCAATGAATAACCCTTTAATATTTATGTCAATGGAAATGTAACCCCAAATAAAGTTGGAACTCCAGTACAACTACAGAAGATCTGATATATCAGAAATATCCCAAGAATATATTCTAGTAAATACCGAAACTGTTAAACATTTTGTTAGAATCTTTAAAATCACTTAAGGTAACTTACTGAAATGATAACGTCCTGTAATAAATGTTGAAAAAGTTGAGAGTATAGTGCAATGATCAATCAGAGAGTACAGTGACATCCATGTTGTAAATAAATCATTAGATGCGATAGCCTATACACGTATGTTTAGAATTTTTCCGTTAAATACGAAAACTCATTAAAAAAAAGAATATTATATGCAAATTACTCGTAAAATAAACATGATGAGAAAGATACAATTACAGCTCATTTCTACATAGAATCTCCATTGTTCTGTGAAAGCGATACAGAAAGTATTTTCTGATAAAATCCTGGAAAATAAGAAATAAATAACTGGGAGTATTCAAACCTACTGATGTGCATTCCATAGGTATATGCACATACAAAGTAAACCTGATAAAGTTCTTGATAGTATCTAAAATCAGAAAAATAACACAAAATTTACAAGAATGAATCAGTTTACCTACTAAGTACAATTTACATATTCTAATTTAACCACGATTATGATAATCTCAAAACCAGTTAAACTCAAACACTCTGTTCACTAATGATGAGTACATCTCTACTATGATCATTCTTATGAAGGGAACACGGTGAATTTATAACGTGTATGTGCACTACCGAGGAGTCACATACTACGATCAAACAACCATCTACTGCACCCAAATTTTTAGTGGTTGTTTAATATTGATCAGTTCATGATTTCCTTAAAAAAAACTCAATAATCTCCACAACCATATACTAAAAATGATGATCAATAAACATAGTGAATCATAAACCAGTTACATAAAAAGTACTTGCTGAATCTATTTCATGTAATTATAATTTGAAAAAGTAGTTAATCCACTTATCTGTTATCATATGATTCCTTTCACAGTCCATGCATAAAATATAACATTAAAATGTACCATAAATAATAAATCTCAGAATGTCCAGGGCCACAACATTTATGTCAATTGAATATAGAAGATAAAATGTATAACGACAGTGAATGCTTTATATGTAAGTTTAAAATTCGAACAATATGAAAGTAATATGAAGCAATCATTCAATAAATGAACAACAAAAATATAAAAATGGATTCACTAGGAAATAACTGCAAATGGTTCATATTCCCATTTATTCACTGATTCCTAACATCTATACACTTATCACAAAATATCAAGATCTTCGGTTTAATCTTAAGAGGAACGGGTAGAGATCAGCATTCTAGGGTATTAAAAAAGTATATGTAATTTGTTCTATATTCTGTCGTTTTCATCCGTTCATCTTTTGATAGCAATTCAAGATGAAAACAGTCTATAAATACAAGACTAGTGACATTCAGTACAACTTAATAATTTAGATAATGTGAGAGGAGATAACACTTTACACTTTATGCTCATTAGTTTTGAGAACAACTATTTTCTGACGACCAGTGTTCGTTAATAAAACATGTTTAGTTTGATCTAATTCACATCAAATGAAGTTTTCTATGTTAGAATACAATAGACAAATGTAATTTGTCATAGGAATATTGTTTTATTGAGGTCATGAATTGATCACCATTGAAAACTTAGGAATACTGGACAACCGTTTTGTTCCGGTATTGGACACCTCAGTAGTGCACATCCACGATCCCTTATGCGGGACTCAAACTCAGAACCTTCACAAACGCCTAATCTCTCGACCATTGGGCCGGTATCCAACTGTGTTAATGTCTGACTTCAACCAATCCACTGTATTGTGCGATCATCTTCCATTAACTTTGGTGGGCAAATGTCTCACACTCGACACAGTTGAACTCTACCAGTCTCAGCTTCTCACTAGAACTCCAAGGATTCTCTCTCGGAGCTAGTCACTAGTGAGCACATGATAGTCATCGGTACAGGGTTGTGGAAATTGTAGAGCTTTTTTATTTTTTATGGTCTAACAATGATCTTAATAAAAAAACTCAACAATTTCCACAACTCTGTACTTATAGGAATATTACTTAGTATTGCCAGTGACATCAATGAAAATAAAATGAGCAACTTAAAAGAAAATTATGACTATAAACATACCAGAAATCTTCCAAATGCATTTTTTCCAGCTAATGTAGCTTTAGCAGATTTTAACAACCATAATGAATTCTTGAATCGTAACAATTTTCGAAGATTTTCTTCATCTACATTTCCTTTTTTTCGTCTTCTTTGAGATAGTGTAACTAAATAGATTAATAATGCTCCTATAAAAAATGTTCCTAAGCATATGGACAATAAAATAGCTGCTTGTAGTTCACATGAATATTGATTTAATAATGTTAAATACATTTTTTCAAATACAATAAGTTAGTTACACATTTGTCTGTCTGAAATAAAAAGTGACAACTTTTTATTTAAACAATAAAATAAATGTGATTTCATTTGTTATTTACTACTGAATTTAATGTCATTTCATAAACAATCAAAAAAGCACGAACTACTCACATGATTTTTAATATCAAGATCATATATGCACAATTAAAACATGTATCAGTTTATTATATTAAATTAAGGTCATATTATGTTCAGAATATACTGCACTATGGATTATCACTTTGCAGGAATAGAAATAAACAGATAATTACTCGTTTAATATTTAAAAAATAGTACTTTTTTTAATGATCCCTCAATCAATTTTGAAGGGAGTCAAGTTAGAAAAATACATGATGTAAAATAATACATATTATGTAATTCTAAATAATATGAACACCTTTTTTAACTGAACATAATTTCAGATTATTGATCTTCAAAGTTATGAGATAATAATTTTAAATCTTCAATGTCTGATATCATGAGTCAATTGAAGCTAGACCACTATGGAAAACCTGAAAGCACTGAACGGCCGTTTCGTCCTATTGTGGGACTCTGATATGATGGGAAGAAAAATCAATTTTCGATTGATTGACTTATTATGAGGTTTGTCTAACATTACTTCCCTTCTAATTCAATGTGATGATCATTCACTGTAGTAATTGTTTTCTTTTGTTGTAAGATATTTTATTCTGTATAATATACGATATTCTTGTATCCAATGGAAATGAACTATGCTCAGTATGTGAATTGTTATAACTGTAAGTATTTTTCATACATGAGATTTTATTCTAATTATTAATCAAAAATGGGTGTAAAATCAATATATAAACCAGTGTATTTTAGACTATTTTGATCATCGTCGTCGTCGTGTTTTGGGGCTAATACCAGTCTTTTTGTTCTTACTTTCACTTCGTGGGAATTGCGGAGGTCCCTCGTTCCGAGTATAAGTGATCAGCGATTTTCTGTCGCAACATTTGCGACGACCGAACACAACAGACTCCTAAGCAGTGCGCATTCACGACCACGCCCCGCGGAATTCGAACCCAGGACATGTTAGTCTCGCGCGCAAGCGCTTAAGCACTAGACCACTGGGCTGGCCGGCAACCAACGGTGTTAATGTCTAAATTATTTTTAAAGTATTCTATGGAACTACTATGCATATTAAAGTTGTGGTGTGTGCTACTGATGTCGACAGATATAAGTAATATGTATCATCATCCGAAAGTGAAATGCCTGGAGGTAGAATATTAAGAACATCAAAGAAAAAAGAACGAGAACAGAGAATGATTGGTGTGGAAATAAAGGAACAATAAAGTTTGAGAGAATTAATAAACATTTTGCAAATGTAATATTAACCGTATGGTTCTCAGATTTTACTAAGAGATTCTGTAATTTTGTGTTTTAATACATCCCCAACTGTATTCCCGTTCATCACAAAGTGATGTCTTCAAACACAATGATGGCAATTTATGAATACATGAATACTTTGACTACGTCAAAATGATCAAGAGTGCATTAAGCGATCAATGAAAATGTAAACAAAATATGTGAATTGGACTCGTTTATGAATACGGTATGTGATCATCGTGTTACAGTGCTTGCTTTAAATGCAGTCATTAATTATAAACGTACCAACTGTTTGTCGAAGTACTGGAGAATATAAGCATAATTTTCATCTATAGATAGTATTACCAAAAGAATATTTTAAAATCAAGAAAGATTAAAGGCCTAAACAATTGTTTATATAAAATGACTGATTAATATACGTTGTGAACCTCATACGCAATATGGTAGAAGGTTCAAACAAATATTTTACCCATTCTTTTATTGGACAATGATTTTGAAGAAACATGTAAAAAGGAGGATTTCATTAATATATGTATTCATTTGCAAAGTATTATCCATTTGGTAAATTTCCTACCGAATCATTTTCCTTTAAAACCAAACAATGATCAAGCTTTGTTCACCCAAATATTCAGATAGTGGCCTATTTATAAACTAACCAGAGTGACGAAAGTGTTTATAAATAGGTGATATTTGCAAATAACATCAGAAATTCGATGTACAAGAAAACGATACTTTTATTTTATTGATCTGCCTTTATTGGTTAGAACCAAACAATAGTTATGACAGACTGGTGCGGCCGAATACCATCAGCAACAGCCTTCTGTGGGAGAGAACAAACCAGCTTCCAGCTGAAGAGGAAATTAGGGAAAGACGATGGAAATCGATAGGACATATATCACGCAAATCATCAAACCGCACGACAAGGCAAACCATAACTTGAAATCCTGAAGGGAAGCGAGGAACAGGAAGACCACAGAACACATTACCTCGGGAAATAGAATCATATATGAAAAGGATGAATAACAACTGGAAGGAGCTGGAAAGGATTGCCTAGTACAGTGTTGGATGGCGAGTGCTGGTGGGCGGCCTATCCTCCTCCAAGAGGAGTACCAGGCGTAAGTAAGTAAGTAAGGTGTCATACAGATAATATCTCGTTATTATTGTAAATATATATCAGTATATATTAAAAATGCGTTAACACAATCCCGGTGCATTAAAAGTTTAGTGGTTGTTTGTAGATATTTATATTATTCTTTAAAGCAATTGAGTCATGAATTGATTCCCGTCACAGAACCATTAAAAACAAAATAGCACTTAATAATTGTTTCCTATTCGGTTTGAAATTTCGCATCATTGTCTTTTAGTTATTGTATTTGGATTCAGCGATTCATATCTTATTGAACGTTGTTAAATTCACAAAGTACCATATCTGTCATCTTACGTCCTTCTATCAGTTACCATCTAATCCATGATACACCCGACCGCTGTTGCTACCTTAACGTGGTGGTCGGGCTTGCCTATCGTGATGAACCGATCGAGCTATACTGGCTGGAACAATCGTTCCGCAAGGTCCTACCATGTCAGACAGGTTGGTTGAACAGTGGTAAGACTAAAAGCAACAAACCCAAGGTTCAAAGGCGAATTCGTACTACTGTTTGTACAGAGGTGTGACGGCAGTAAGGTGTTCCCTTCAGACAAACAGCATGACAGCTGTGCTGCTTTCCCATAAGGAGGGGTGGGGTTAGAAAAGGTTGACCCCAAAAATGCATACCTCGCCCTATCCCACGAATATCCGTCTCCGGTGGTGAGGTCCCAACAAGTAATGAACGAAAATGACACGAACATTACTCACAAAAAGGTCGTATATGACCGACCTCAAGTACTTGTACCTTGGATATTGCGGTCACACTCTCAGGTCACTAAGACCACCTCTAATCCAATTTCCTTTCCAGGTATCTCCAGGAAAAACCTTCCACAGTGTGGGAAACCGGAGAGTGATAACCGCCTTCACACCTCTAACAGCACTCAATACCACTGTATTCATAATCAACCTCCGTCTTCAATTCCTATTATTCCTCCTACATCGACTTTCAACTCTAAATTTCCTCTTTCGGCTTCCTCCTCAAGTGTCACCATAGCCAACGATTCTAGTGCTCAAAACACTGTCCCAGGTCTAGTGAAACCTCGCTCCAAACTACACATTGGAGCCTTCAACGTACGAACCCTATGCCAAATCGGTCAGCAGGCTTCCTTGGTTAGAACCCTAGAATCTCGTACGATTGATGTATGCTGTGTCTCTGAAACACGCATACAGGATCCCAGTGTGGTCATTCACTTGACCTCACCTCGGCAAAACGTAGAGCCAACGAGATACACCCTTCGTGTATCTGGTGACCCGATGGCCAGTTCTCGTGGACTGGCAGGTGTAGGCATAGCACTAAGCATGAGGGCCGAACAAGCACTGCTAGAGTGGATCCTCGTCAACAGTCGTCTATGTGCTGTTCGGCTGAACGGCTACGTAAGAACTCGGAAGGATAGGGACACACGTCGTTGCCTTTTTGTCGTTTCTGTCTACGCTCCCACTGACTGCAGCTCAGATGAAGTGAAAGATGAATTTTACAGAAAGCTTTCTGAACTTCTTCAGAAAGCTAAACGCTCAGACATAGTACTCGTAGCAGGTGATTTTAATGCTCAGATAGGAAGCTTAAACCAAACAGAAAGGCATTTAGGTGGATATTTTAGTATTCCGACACAGCGAACAGATAATGGTGATCGTCTGCTGCAGCTATGCTCAGACAATCGTTTATTTTTAGCAAACACAAATTTTAAGCATAAGGAGAGACATCGTCTAACATGGCGACCCCCTACACCAAACCAACGATGGACTTAAATAGACCATATTGCCATCAGTCATCATTGGAGAGGGTCGGTAGAAGGTTATCGCTCATTCTGGAGTACCTGCTTGGACTCCGACCATGCCCTAATACGGGTACGCATCTGCTTGCGCCTCACTGGACGCAGTAAAGCCCCATTAGAACTGAATTGAGTTACGAGAAAACCAAAAGTAGGTTCCAGGAACAACTGAGGTCACACTTAGGTAGTTCTGAAAACGATGCTGGCCCAGATGTTGCTTGGAAAGATATACAAACAGCTGTGGAAACAGCAGTGTTATCTATCAGTGATTTAAATCACAGGGTTACAAAGAACCAATCGATTTCCTCAAGGTCTGTTGCACTGATGGATTCTCGTAAACTCATCCCATTAGGCTCTGAACACCATGAAGAGCGAAAACAAATCAGATTTAGGTTAACCAAAAGTCTAAGGGACGACCGTGAGCAGTGGTGGGCAACAAAAGCAAAAGAGATGGAAAAGGCGGCGGTTATAGGGACACACAAGACAGCCTTACAGACTAATAAAAGAAACTGAAATTAATAAGTCAAGTGCAAGTCAGACTGTTTCGGAAAAAGACGACACCCTCATCTACTCTCAGTCCAGACGTTTAGAACGATGGGCGGAACATTTCAGAGAACAGTTCAGCTGGCCTTCAGCTACTCTACAACTACCCTCCATTCCCAGACAGTGTGAAGGGAACATTGAAGTAGGTCCCCCAACTCTTGCTGAAGTTCAAAAGGCTATAGTTAATCTGAAACGAGGAAGGGCAGCTGGTCCAGATGGATTGGC